TCCTTCTTTACAGATAGTGAATTAGGTGCTTGTATCGGAGTATTTTTTTTATTTTTACACTCCCACGTGTGGTGATGTAAAATTACACTCCTATTCAAAGTTCCGTCTGATTCCACAACGAGTGTCATCAGCTAGGACATTCAGAAGACGCCTCAGGCTGAGTTGCACAACCTGACGTTAACCGTAACTATAACGATAACCGGTGTTTTTTGTATGGAGTTTATTTATTTATTTATTTAAGGACAGCTAACAAGACATACACAATTAACAGGGAAAAAAAACATTGAAAACAATACGTGTCTAGTCTATAGTGTAGCCTTAATTAAAAGCTGCCACGACATGTGCATAGATTGCGTGGAAGCGTAGTATCGACTAGTCTAAAAAACAAACAAATTTTGACAGACTTTTGTTAATGTTAAACTAAGATGGTGCAACCCAGCTATAATCATCTCTTTCTTTGTTTCAATATTCTGCGGTGGCGGCTTGTAGAGTATAATTATCTTCTATTTTATACAGGATTGTTTATAATTCTAGCCACAGAATAAACTCAGTAAATTCAGCTTTTAAAACATCATAGTATTGAGACACCTTCAACACTAAGTTTTTCATCTATCATTTCAGACTTTTTTGGGCCAAGGCAACGAGTATGAGAGATAGAGTTCACACTAAAGCGGAGCAATCGTCTCATGAATAGAGCTGTAGAATCTTATTCAAGTATCCACATTACATTTATTCCAAGGACATTGCAAACCAAAGACTTCAAAAACTGTCTGTTAAAAGATATTCGGGACTGTTCTCTTCCATTTAAAGTCGCATTTTTTCGAGTACGAACGCCAGCGAAGCACAACGGCGCGGAGCAATCATCACAATGAATGGTGCTGCGGAGAGCTCTTCTATGAATGCAGTATCCTTAGGGCGAAAACTTGATAGGGTGTCCAAATGGCAATGTTTTACAGGACAAATCATACTTAAGTATTTTTTGGGAATAAACTTTAAGGCTGAGTTGCACCATCTAACTTTGACCGTAACTGAAACGATAACCGGCGTTTTTTGTATGGTACTTGACAGATTATTGACGTTTGTCAAAGCTAAAGTAAGATGGTGTAACCCAGCCTTAAAAGCGATTTTATTTCAATGACAACTGATACGATTTTGAATAATGTTAATTTGTTTTGAGTCTTATTCAGAAATGATTATTTTCCCATAGTTTGTAGGTGCGAGTTATTAATAAAAAAAAGCCTATTACACCTGCTCAGCTAGGTTGTAACTTGTGTGCTTACTTAAAGTTGTTCATAAGAAATTTAATTTACGAACAAAGCTAACCAGTCAACAATCTAGATTTTCATAAAGAATCTCGGATGTTTTAATAAAACTAACGTGGCTTAATTGACCAACCTCAAAACTTAATTCCGCCAGGTGAAATTATTGCCCACCAAATCGAAAGCGACATGAAATGTGGCGTGTTGACTGAACTAAACGGCTGACGCGGTCGGCTACACTTTCCAACTTAAAATCAAATCAACGCGTTTTATTTATTTTGTAAACTTTCAAAAAACGAATGACTGTTTCCTTATAATAAAAACGTAGCGTTTGGTAGAATGTTGAACTTTTGCATGAGTCAGAAGACCAAATGAAAAAAAAACAAAGATTAGTAAACATAATTTCAAGAAACCTTCAACGGACAAAATGGGACCACACGTTGTATGTTTATTGTTTTGGTCTGTTAACCAAATAAAAGTTTTGCGTTTAATTGAACTTATTTTTTCGCTACCTGAATTCGATATGAGAATTGGATACTTAAGCATGGATATTAATAAAGTCCCGTTTTAACTCCTAAATAAAAATCCATGGTCACCATAAGACAGGACTCTCTTTAATTTGTCCCTCACCCAGCAGACGTTGAAAAGATATCTAATGATTCTTCCATCGTCATGTACAGTTTGAATATAAAAAACATAGGCCAAGTGCGAGTCAGACTCGCGCACAAGGGTTCCGTACAACACTGTTGTTGTGTGCCCCCCTTAATTATAAATTTTATTATTTATTTTGAAAGTAAATAAGTATACAACTAAATATTCTGAGAATAATTTGAGTGTCTACTGGTTGCCATTATTAATATCGCGCAAAAAACGACAAACAATCAAACTCGTTTGTTGTATAGGACTTGGAAGCCTCCTTAAATATTAATTATATTCTGTACTAGCGGCCGCCCGCGACTTCGTACGCGTGGATCCCGTTTTACCCCCTTCACCTATCTTACACGGTTAAGATTTTTTCATACAAATGTTTTTTCCCGCTAACTCCCGTTCCCGTGGGAATTTTGCAATATCCTGTTGTAACTAAGCTTTAAGTTTACTAAGGTACCTACATGCCAAATTTCAAGCGTCTAACTTAAGCGGTTTAGATTTTTCATACAAAAGGATTTTCCCGCTAATTCCCGTTCCCGTGGGAATTCCTAAGTATCCTATAACCTGCCCAGGAGTATGAAGAATAATTGTACCAAGTTTCGTTAAAATCCGTCCAGTAGTTTTTGTTTCTATAAGGAACATACAGACAGACAGACAGACAGACAGACAGACAGACAGACAGACAGACAGACAGACAAAAATTTTACTGATTGCATTTTTGGCATCAGTATCGATCACTAATCACCCCCTGATAGTTATTTTGAAAATATATTTCATGTACAGAATTGACCTCTCTACAGATTTATTATAAGTATAGATTTAGTATTTGTTATAGTGGCAACAGAAATACATAATTTGTGAAAATTTTAACTGTCTAGCTAACACGCAGCCTGGTGATAGACAGACAGCGAAGTCTTAGTAATAGGGTCTCGTTTTTACCTTTGGCTACGGAACCCTAAAACTGTTTCTTATTTTGTATTTTCGAGAAATAATAATCTTTCGTGCCTTTTAAAGAAGAAGCCAAACAAGGCAGGTCCTTTTGAAAACGTGAAAGATATTCCCTCCGGATTTATGTAAATAATTTAGACTGTCCTTTGAGTCATACCCGCACCATTAAATTTGGTCCGTTTGTTAAGGTAATTAGGTAAATTACTCAAGGGAAATTTTTGTTTCGCAAAAGTGTAGGCGAAATTATAATCTACGTTGTAGGTGAGCACGTATTGTAGAGACAACACTGATGCCCTATTTACAAACGATGCTTGCTTATGTGAAGCAGCAAATCGAACGCACAGCGATGAATAGAGCTTTGTGATTGGTTCGTATGTCACCCTGTGTGTCCACGCGCACTGTGAGACCTCATAGTAATGGTGGTGAATACGGGCGTGAGTTAAACATAAACAATGCGGCTTACGTAGTTGTGATAGATATTTTGCAATAAAATGATATAGTCTGATGTGCTGTCAGGTGCACTATTTGACCGTTTGAATTGATTAAAACGAGAGCATGATAATGTTAGGACGGGTTTAGCTTTTTACAAATCATGGGATTTAAAAGCGTATTATGATTCAGTCCAGGTCCATATTATAAAGCTCTGAGAGCTAAATCTCTCTGATGCTCTAAAAGTTGCAGTCCCTCGATTATATTGGTTCAGTATAATAGCGGTTTCACACTAATTTTATAAAGAGGTAAGACTGATTGTTTATTTGTATTGAATAGGCTCCAAAACTCTTTGAAAAAATATTTCACCATTAACCCTTTTCNACACCAAACGGCCGACCCTATAGGTAATATTATAACCATAAAGAAGTGACTACTTTATACCTATGAATAAAGACCATTTAATGCCAAGATCATAAAAAGAACGAATGGATTAGAAAAAAGAGGGGGGTCAGCGACGTGGTGGAAGAGATTGAGAGCCGTAAATGGAGATGGGCAGGGCACATTGCTCGGATGAATCAGGATCGCTGGGCCAGAAAGACCCTGGAGTGGAAACCCCACAACAACACACGCGGCAGGGGAAGACCGCCTAAGCGGTGGACAGACGACGCCCTTAGGCCGCTAATGTCCGTTTTTACCATCAAACCCTAATTTTAAGTGACCCCTATGGTAACACATAATAAGAAATTTTGTTCTAATAGGGGTCGCTTAAAAATTAGGGATTAATGGTGAAAACGGGCATAAGCCACTCAGAATTTGTCTAATCTCAACGATTTAAATTAAGTATCGATACAGCACGTAATGTCACTTATTGAATAAGAGGCTGATACGCTGGTTATCATGGTCAGTGTAAACATATTGGCTTCTCATTTTTTTTTATAGTGGCATGATAAATTAGAAACCTAATAAGATAAAAAAATAAAGCTTTATTAAATACATGTTTAAAAAATAAAACACCAACCTTATGAGCATGATGCTGTGTAGAATAATGTGATGGAAGACCTTCGGCATACGATGCTTGCGCTATTGGTAGTACCTGAAGTAATAAACAATCTTATTATCTTTGGGAAACGTTTCGCAAAAGGATAAGGACACCAAAGTGGAGACGAGGCTCGCCTCGTCACGTTACTTTGGGGATGTACGGGGCTCTCGTCAACCGTTTCCACCGAAGCTAAGCAGAGATTAAATGTGTAAATAACGAAAATCCTGTTGGTTGCTATAACTCATCATCTCGTCCCCTTTCGTCTCGTAGAGCAAATATGGCAAAGCAATAAGGGGGCTAAGGGCCTATTCACCTTAGCACACTATAGCCTGCGCTATAAAAACATGTCACATCCCCTAATTTCCAATGAGGAATCTATACCAAAGCAATAAGAGCCTATTTACCTTAGCACACCTAGCCTGCGCTATAAAAATATGTCACATCCCCTAATTTCTAATGAGGAATCTATACCAAAGCAATAGGAGCCTATTCACCTTAGCACACCTAGCCTGCGCTAAAAAAACATGTCACATCCCCTAATTTCTAATAAGGAACCTATGACAAAGCAATAAGAGCCTATTTACCTTAGCACACCTAGCCTGCGCTAAAAAAACATGTCACATCCCCTAATTTCTAATAAGGAACCTATGACAAAGTAATAAGAGCCTATTTACCTTGGCACACCTCGCCTGCGAGAACCGAACATCAGTGGCGAGCGCGTCAAAAAGAGCGCCGCCTGCGTCTTGATCGCCGTCTTCCTCCAAGTATAGTGGAGTCAGCGCCTGCGCCGCGGACCGCCAGGCAGACGCACTTGGCAGCTGAAACCAAAGGATAGTTGACACCATTATCAAACAGACCCAAGACTAACTTCTCTAAAAGAACATTTGATGGCAAACGAAGATAATGACGTTAGGTTGACGCCATATTTAATAAGGGTTTTCGCGAATGAAAAATAATAGACGCGAGGTCCAAATGCTGCATGATTGGTTATTTTTGACATGACATTGACAGATATGTCAAAATCCACCAATCACGCAGCAGTCAGACCCCACATCCACGTCCCGCCATCTAGCGGATCTTTCATTCGCGAAAACCCTCATTGTGATTGTATGTAAGACTTGATGGTGATGATGATTTTTCCGATAAATTTATGCCATGGTGACCACTTCGACTCCTAACTACGCTAGCTTACGTAGCCGATTTTCGCGGCTAACCCCCTCGCACATCGAGAGCATCTGAGCACGTCGCACGCATGGACGGGCTTTTAAATCATCGCGCTTCGGGCCCATGCTTTTGTTTTGTTTAGCACCACAAAGCAAATAAAAAACATATTTAGGCTTATACTTTATAGGTTAAATTTTGTTATTTATGTCAACTAAACTTATTATAAACCTCACCTCAAAGAAGGAAGTGCTCATCGCGTACTTCCCCATATTGTCATCGAAGCCCTCACTCAAGGTCAGGTCTATATGCCCTTGCAGGAACTGCCTGAAGCCGGGCCGCTCCGCCGGCGGCTCGGGCTCCGCGGCCGCGCACAGCTCGACGAGCCCTCGCACGAGCGAGCTGACGTCACGCTAAGTCAACCCACCACCACCCATGGCCATACCAACCTTGCGGTTATACTGGCCGAATCGCGGGAGGTGTGCGCGGAATTGCGTCTGCTTAGGGCAGATTGCACTCCACCGCGCCACACTTCTTGACTCCCTACAAGTTATTTTTCTTCGTTCCTGTCCCTATAGTACAGTTCACCCCTTCTGGGGCCTGACAATCACTCCACGGTTGACACCCTCTGGTGCCGTGCAGCGCTAGCGGTTCTCCTATGCCAGCCGTACGGGAATTCTCGTCACGCTAAGTCAAGTCAAAAGTCATTGATAACTCACCTCAAAGAACGAAGTGCTCATCGCGTACTTCCCCACATTGTCATCGAAGCCCTCACTAAAGGCTAGGTCTATATGCCCTTGCAGGAACTGCCTGAAGCCGGGCCGCTCCGCCGGCGGCTCGGGCTCCGCGCCGTGGCACAGCTCGACGAGCCCGCGCACGAGCGAGCTGACGTCACGCGCGCAGCCCGGGTCGTCCGCGTTAATGTACACAAACTCCTCGTTTTTGGGGATGGCGAACAGCGATTTGGCACTGGTGGAAAGATATTATACAGATGAGAAAACAGGGAAATATACAGATTTAATAGAAAAATAATAATAAAAAATATTTAAATAAATAATTTGAAAAATCTTACTAAGCTACATCAAAACTTGTTCTTGATGAATCACAAAGATCTTATGAATCTTCTACAGCACTTTTGCCTTTTCAAAAATTTTGTTTTTAATAAAGTAAAGCGCACAATACTCTTTTGGAACTTTAAGTAAGTACATTGAGAGTTACTTATAGCTTACTTGTGATATTTGAAAACATAAATTATAAGCATTCCTCACAAAAATATCACTGATAGAAAGACAAAGAAAAAAACAAAAAACTCACCAAACATTAGTAATAATGCGAGCCTTCCTCAAAATGAAATAAAGCTGATCCTCCACAGCATGCTCAAGCCTCTTTAATCCAGCTGGCACCCTCCTGAGGGGGGTGGGGGCTCTCCTGAAGTGGAACAGCAGCCGGGGGCAGCAAGTCCGGCCGTGGGTCTCCCAGGCTCCACCCAGACCAAGGTCTGCAAATGCTGCAGTTGTTTTTGGGGCCAACTCTGTCCTGAAATCAGTTTTAAACAATGTATTAGTCATATTCATAGTCATTTGTTCACTTCGCAAAATGATTCAAGTGATTTGAAAATTTAAACATTATGGCTATACATTTTTCTTCATTGATAAATCATAAATGTTTAAATAAATAAATCTTTATCGTAACTTTATTTTTCTTTTGAAATGTTACTACTAAAGTTTCCGACAAAATGTGCTTATCATGTGCAGACTCCATACATATTGGGAGAATTGGGACAATTACATATTAAAAAATAAGGCATGTAAAAGATGTCTTATCATAAACCAATAACTTAATTGGATGCAGTATTGTTAAAACAAATATTTTCTTACCTGAAAGCATCAATAGCCTTAAACAGCTGGATGTATCCCAGATCAAAGACATGGGTAGGCGACGAGAGCACCACTATATGGCACAAGTGGAACAGTAGCGCGATGGCGCGGCAGGACTCGGCTGCCAGCTCCCCTGAGGCCACCAGCCAGTGGGCGGCGTCGGCGTCCTTGTCAGTGCTTTTGGAGTTCTCATCGAGGGTCGCAGCCAGCTCCGCCAGCCGCTTTGTGTCTAGATACGTGACTGCGTGGAGAATGAGCACGCCACGGCGCTCTTCCCAGTGGCATTCGATGCCATTCTAGTTAGGTTAGACATTAGTGTTAAATATTTGGGTTCTAGGGTGAAAACTAATATGATTTCAAAGTAATTTAACGAATCAAACCTCATCCGTAGATACGTTCGGCAAAAGTGGGGTTGTTTTGTTGGGATACCGGTACGGCGACTTCCCAATAACACCTACTACAACTATTCGCTCCTTTTTAGAAAACTCCGGGATATCATTGATAGTAAATACTTTCATGATTATTGTATTTGACAATGTGAATATTTTTGGAAAACATTTAATTTATTTACAAAGCAAGCACACACACATCAGCTGTTTATTGACAACTTTGACAGATTTGTAGTAAGTTGTAAAGTGTTTACGAAGGTAGCTACATAGCTAGCTAAACCACTTACTATATTAAAATAGTAATTAAATTATAAATTAATTATATGATAATGAAGGTTTTATTATTACTTATTTAACATAAAATAATTTGGTAATTAAGAATTGTCGTTCTATAAACAATAAAGTGGACACTCGTGAATGGAAATTGTTTCCCAACTGTCATGTAATTTCACATTCACTTGTCAAAAACTCAAAATATCAGCTGGTTTTGCGTAGCGTAAACTTGCTAACCTTTCGAAATCAAGGTTTGCCGCTTGCTTAGAGATTGGAGAAAATGAAATAGGTAGTTATCAAGCGCAAATTCGCAGTATCGCACGTGGCTACGACGCCAACGCCGCAATAAATCCGCCCGATAAGTTATCAGTGCAAAGTTTGTGCCTGTGGTGTGCAGCAGTGTAAAATAACTTTCTGTCGCAATGTCTTCAGCTGTTGAAGATATTTGCGAACTATTAGATAGTTATAATGGTAGAGATAAGGTAAGTATGCGGAAGCCATACGGCCTTGTAATATTGTAAAATTTTACAACTGGTCTGTCCTGTCCCATAGGCATAACTGGTAGATCATTGTTTGAAAGTTCCGTAAACTTGCAAAGGTATTTAATTAAAAACTTACAAATTTATCAGCTTTAATTCTATGAATATTATGCATTATTGGTAAAGAGCTAATGTTTTTTTTTAAATAGGCGCGTGCGCCATCTTCATGGCGCTCATCAGTTGGAACGCGCGCCCGAGCGTCACGCGGCAGAGGAGCATTTGTCTGGAAGTTTGAGAAACAACTTTGAGTATTTTTTTAAGTAACACAGTTCATACTAGTACAGCTGTCAACGTAAAACTCATTTTTGCGAAGACATCACCATCATTTTAGAAAGAAAGATACATTTATTACAATGGACATCACACAAATTTTATTTTATTTATTTAATAGGACAACCAACAAGACATACCCTAGAAATACAGGCAATTACATAGACGTAACAGTGGCACATAATAATAGAAGAAAAATATAAAAACAAGAGTAAACTGAGCAGTGCCACCGATTCACCAACAAGATGCCCACTGCAACGGGACTCAGCATAAAATATGCCGTGGCCCACGGTGACGAAGGCCACGGCGCTGGTTTTCAGTGTGCCCCATGCCGAGTGAGGGTCACATTGGTAAAATAAATTTTAGCTATAGGACGTCCACTGCTGAACATAGGCAGGCCTCTCCCGGCGATTTCCATAATGGCCGGTTGGTAGCGGCCTGCGTCTAGCGTCTTCCTGCTACCTTTATTAGGTCGTTGGTCCACCTTGTGGGTAGACGTCCTACGCTGCGCTTTCCGGTACGGCTTTCTGGAGTGAATCCAGAACCGAAATACTTATAAAAACAATGAAAATTCCTTCATTTGTGTATGGCACCATCCACCATCATAAATAAAAAATAAAATAAAATAAAAGATGCATCGTCAAAGTACCAACTTATGTATTACTTCTTGGTCCGGCGGAGATAAGCTTCTTTCCTGTGCTCCTATTACTATACAGGGTGTTAGGTAAATGGGTATATGAGCCGACACTAGCCCATGTTAACATGGGCATATAAATGGTACGGTGAAGTCAGAAATTTGATATCATCATTTTTTTTTTTAATTTACATACAAAATAAATTTTATAAATCTGATTTCTATGAAAATTAAAATAATTAAAATGAAGATATCAATTTTCTGACTTCACCATACCATTTANTCAGAAATTTGATATCATCATTTTTTTTTTTAATTTACATACAAAATAAATTTTATAAATCTGATTTCTATGAAAATTAAAATAATTAAAATGAAGATATCAATTTTCTGACTTCACCATACCATTTATATGCCCATGTTAACATGGGCTAGTGTCGGCTCATATACCCATTTACCTAACACCCTGTAGATCGTTTCATCTACGAAGACGGGCTCCACCACTTTTTGGTCGAGCAATCTGAGCGTCATTATTGCAGTGTGCGTGTGCACTCATGGATGATTTAGCGTGTACCGATAACACTCAAACATTAGCGGAAGAATGGTGGGGCGCGTCCGAGTGGATGAAACGATCTTTAGAAGCGACACTCACCTGTGGCAGAGGTAGCAGCTGCGATCCTTATGCGCGGGACAGCCGGACCCGCCGCCGAAGCCGTACACGTACTGGTTGCTTTTCGACGAGTGCTCGGCGAAGTATATACCCGCGCCGAACATGCCGCCTGAAAGACACACACTGAATTTATATTTGCAATAAATAGGGTTTACAAAAAGGTGTTATTAAGACATTTTTCATTTTCAAATAGGATCCAAAAAAGCACATAAATTAATAGCTAATGATATGTGGCTAATTGTAAGCTCAAAAGTCTACAACAACGAAGTCGCGGGCAGCCGCTGGTAAATTATAAATCTGACAGAGGCTAAGACCACGTACCAATGTAGGCGTGTCTCTCATCGAAGCCTTTCTGTACGATGGCGTTTATAAACGGGGAACCATGGAATAACATCCGCTCGCCGGCCGCGCCCGCTTCTTCTGCCACTTCCCGTCTCCGATGTTGATACCGCTCCCATAGACGGCCGTTGACTAAAGCAGGCGAGACTGTCCTATGTCTCTTTCTTTCTTACCTTGGGCGCCATGACTCAGTGTCAATCGGTACTATCTCACCTCACGCGACTTTTTCTGCCTCTCACTCGGTCCTCCTTCCCTCTGTCTCTCACTCTTTCAACTCACTCTCTCTCTCTCCCCCCATCTCTCTCTTACTCTCTTCCCTCTGTTACCTTGCGCAGCGTGGCGTAGCTATCTATCTATAGTCTGGTCGGCGAGCACGTAGAATTTTGTCCAATGACCCCAAGCTACCCATCCTTCTCGCTCGCGCGTAATTATATTGCTGTCGCGACTGTGCGACGGGCGCCCGCAGTGAGTGTGCGAGCGCAACAGCAACATAATTACGCGCGAGCGATAAGGATGGGTAGCTTGGGGTCATTGGACAAAATTCTACGTGCTCACAGACCGGGATTTAGTATCTCTTTCTTTTCCCTTGCGAGTGTCACGCGGTCTCTCTCTCCTTGCGTTGTCTACCTGTATTTCTCTCTTTCACCCTGGGCGGCGTGGTTCGCAGCTCTTTCTTATCTGACGCAGCGTGGCGCGTTTGTCACGCGAGTCTCTCTCTCCCCCTCTCTCGCTCTTACTTTATTTCTCACATATCTCTTATTACGTACCTATGTAAGCGTGTCTCTCATCGAAGCCTTTCTGTACGATGGCGTTTATAAAGGGGGAACCATGGAATAACATCCGCTCGCCGGCCGCTCCCGCTTCTTCCGCCACTTCCCGTCTCCGATGTTGATACCGCTCCCATAGGCGGCCGTTGACTATCTTTTGTATCTGTATACAAAGAACAATTAATTAGCATTATTTCAGCCACAGAGCGTCTGTAAAAAAGCCTTTTTCATGGATTCAGTAGTATAGATAGACGACCTTCAACTATTTTTTGAATCTGTACACGATAAAATATTGTTAGTGCTTTCGGTAAAATCCGCACGCGTGCACAGACCGGGTGGATTTTCGATACTGAGAATTAGCCCGGGCGAGATTTAGCTGAGGCCCAAGATTCAACTTCACATTTCAACCACAGGATGTCCAGGAACAAGGGCCTCCAAGGATTCTTTGGTCCTGCATAACAAGGTAGGTATTTGACCGCAATCGCACCTGACGTTAAGTGAGATGCACTAAAATACATACCAGCTCGGATTATAGTGTACGGGAAAGACAGCAGGAGGCAGAGAGTCCAGTCCCTAGCTGTTCGCATTATAGAAGATTTGGCAACACGCTTAGTGCGAGCTGGTGGAATGCCGAAAATGTAGGGACGGTAGCTAACCTGCGTCTGAATCTCCGGTGATGGAATTAGATTGTGTAATTCTTTAACACATTCTCTACTTACCCTAACAACATTATAATGTGAAAAGTTCCCTCCAGCGTGTTCTCGCACGGACGCTTCTCTCTCGCTCTACTATCGCGAACTCACTCTCACAAGTGCACCTTCTACTACCAGGTTACTCCGAAAAACGTTCTCTGAAGTTTCGAATGTTGCCATCCCTCTCACGCCAAGCGAGATGACAGCATGAGCGACGGTGACAGATAGCCCCGATAATAAGTAAATAGCGTTTCGGAGTAGCCCTGCTATGACGTCGACTCTCGTAACTATAGATAGACTATTGCTCGCTCACTCGCACACTATCGCTCTCTCACTCGCACACTAGTGGGAGTGGCCACTTACCCTAACAACATTATAATGTGAGAAGTTTCCTCCAGCGTGTTCTCTATGTGCTCGCACGGACGCTTGCATCTCTCGCTCTACTATCGCGAACTCACTCTCGCACGCACCATCCGCTGCCGCTGTGACGTCAACTAGTGTTGTCCCGCCGTACCATTCTGGAAGAAAAAAATGCATAAAATAAAGGTTTTTCTTTTGACTTTTCTTTTAAATAACTATTTATGTAAAGCTATTTAATAAAATTCCTGACACCAAACATTTAAATTAATCAATTTTATTTTCATTATCATCATATCAGACATGGGATGTTCACTGCGGAACAAAGGCCTCCACCAATGTATGAGCGGCCTGCATCCAGTGCCATCCTGCAACCTTTATGTAGTCGTCGGTCCACCTTGTGGGTGGACGTCCTACGCTGCGCTTTCCGGTACATGGCCTCCACTCCAGAAACTTACAGCATTTTTTTTATTAGGCTCTCTTTTTTTCCCTCTCTTATCTACCCCTCTCCTCCCTATCTCTCCCCCTCTTTTCTGTTTTGCAGCCTTGAACCTGTGTGGGTGTTCGTAGTCTCTTCTAGAGTGCTGGGCCGCCTTGAGCAGGCGGTGCCGGTGTCCTGTCTCTCTCTCTCCTCTCTCTCTCCCTATCCTATCTCTCTCTCACCTTGCGCCGCGTGTCGCGAGTGCCGCGCCGCCTTGAGCAGGCGGTGCCGGTGTCCTGTCTCTCTCTCTCTCTCCTCTCTCTCCCTCTCTCACCTTGCGCCGCGTGTTGCGAGTGTCTTAAAGCCTTGAGCAGATTGTACCGTTGCTTGTAGGTTCTCCTACTTCTCTGCGCCGCGTGTCGCGAGTGCCGCGCCGCCTTAAGGCTTGGTATTTCTGCTAAAGTAGGTATTTCGCGCTGTCAAAATCTGCGCGCGCAATACTTCGCCGAAGACAGCGCGCCAAAGAGCTCTCGCGGCTACACAGTATAGGAATACGCAGTTTGGAAATACGCAGTTGGTTAGGTTAGGTTGACTTCCTTNCGTCCTAAATCCAATATTTACAGTGTAAATCACAAATATTAACCAAAACCGGCCTTGCCAAGTATAGGGTTAAAATTAAAATTCAAAATTAATTAAAACAGAAAATAATAAAATTTAATTTGTAATTCTACATTATTTCTGATGAACATGGGCGGTATAAAATTCGCCCGGTCAGCTAGTGGTCTACAAATTTTTAACCGGTTCGAATTAAGTCAACTGAAAAAGCACGCATTCGAATTGTTCACACTGAATTATTTTGATCACGTCATCGCCAACGGACCGCGAATAACAAAAATCATCGGCCACAAAACAATCGGTTTGCGAGCTAAACGGCGAAACGATTCGGCGCGTCAGACCAAAACCGTTCACAAACCAAAGTTTATAGACAAAGTCAAATTCAAAGTTTTTATTCAGTACTTAGGCCCTTATATGTACACTTCCCAAATATAGCTTGCCCTACCGCCAGTTCGGGACTTATGCCCTATTATGGGCTGGCGGAAGAAACTCAGTCACCTTTGTCAGCCCAGTCATACCCAGTTTTTGGCCTATGGGGGCAAGTCATATTTAGGTCAGATATTTTGACTTCGCTCCTTCAAAGAGACTTCAAGGGGTGGACAGCTCACCTCCCTACCCCTCCCCCCCCCCTCTATAGGTCCGTCTTCCAAAGACATAATAAATCTGATGGATATAATTTTTGTGGATAATAGATAAGAAGAAGAAGAACAGAAGGGAAAGCACCAAAGATCCCAATTGGTTGAGTTACATTACGTTAAGGCATGGCTCCGTATAAGTTGAGATAGTGTTTGTATTCCAGATGTTTTCGTTCAGAAAGGAAAACTATTATAACCTTATGCTTATATCGTCACCGTCGTGGCAGAATTAAATAACTGACACTTTTGTCAAAAACCACTTTTTCCACTTTTTGTATAGTAGAAAGTGTTACCTATATTTTGATCTTACTCTCGTGGCAATATCTATGATATTTCCAAAGATATCTTCAGTTTAGTGAAACTATTGACCATAAATTACAACTCTGTTTGTTGTAGAATTTACGTGGCAAAACTGAATAAGTGACTTTATTTAATTCTGCCACAACTCACTGCGAACGTTGCTTCAAAATACTTGTACTAAGAAAGTCAACAAGTGACTTTATTTAATTCTGCCACAACTCAATCCGAAACATTGCTTCAAAATACTCGTACAATTGTGTTTTTGATTTATTTCATTTTTGTAACATTACTTTAAATGTTACTTTTAATTTCAATGTTCATTACTCAGATGTTGAATCTGGATAGTTACCTTCATCATTATCATCATTTCAGCCATATAGGACGTCTACTGCCGAACATAGGTCTCCCCCAATGATTTTCAATATGACCGGCTGGTAGCGGTCTGCATCCAGTGCTTTCTTGCTACCTTTATGAAGTCCACCTTGTGCTTTCCGGTACGTGCCCTCCACTCCAGAACCAATAGGTAGACAAAATTGAATTGAATTTAAGCTTTCTCCAGTAACACTGATATTATTATACTGTGACTCATCAAAGTCATCATTGTCAAAAATATTGACAAATCGCGAACTGTCACGACCAAAAAACTGACACGCGTCCGTCCTCCGTAAGCGCCACCGCGCGACTGATTGAGATTGTCCAAGCCGTCATGGACGATTTTTTCCACATTTTTTAACATAGTAACTAAATAAGACGCAATATAAAAATTTCATCCGTTAAAAGCCCTCAAGTTATTTCTGAACTTTAGTTTAGAAAAAGATTTAGAATCTAAAATCGCTTATTTTAAAAATAAAACCATAAATAGAAAACGAATAGAGGTAACTTTGGGAATTTATTCTATCGAGTCTACTTCATCAAATCGTGTTTCCATCCGTTAATAGCCCTAGATTAAATTTTATAAAAAAAAAAACCGACTCCAAAAAACCTACACTAAAAAGCAGAATAATAATTACTAATTACCTACTTATTTATTAGGACGAATTATTAATATTTATGTAGGTATACCATGATTGATACTTCTGGAGTCGGTGCCAAGATTATGAAACATGTAAAGTTTGCCTGCTTAGTGTAGGTTTTTTGGAGTCGGTTTTTTTTTTTATAAAATTTAACTTATTTCTTGCTTTTTAGTTGACTAATTATTACCTTGATGTTACCACTGAAGGTAGGCAGTACATTGAGACCATATTCTTAATGTATATTATAAAAAAGTTCATCCCCAATTTTCCACCCTTGGGGGTGAAAATTTTCTTCAAATTCGCATGAAACCACCCTTTTGATAATACCTCTCTCTCTCTCCCTCTCTCACCTTGCGCCGCGTGTCGCGAGTGCCTCGCAACCTATTGTTGTGTCCTTAGTCTTTCTCTCTCTCCCACCTCTATCTCTCTCTCTCCCTCTCTCACCTTGCGCCGCGTGTCGCGAGTGCCTCGCAACCTATTGTTGTGTCCTTAGTCTTTCTCTCTCTCCCACCTCTATCTCTCTCTCTCCCTCTCTCACCTTGCGCCGCGTGTCGCGAGTGCCTCGCAACCTATTGTTGTGTCCTTAGTCTTTCTCTCTCTCCCACCTCTATCTCTCTCTCTCCCTCTCTCACCTTGCGCCGCGTGTCGCGAGTGCCTCGCAACCTATTGTTGTGTCCTTAGTCTTTCTCTCTCTCCCACCTCTATCTCTCTCTCTCCCTCTCTCACCTTGCGCCGCGTGTCGCGAGTGCCTCGCAACCTATTGTTGTGTCCTTAGTCTTTCTCTCTCTCCCACCTCTATCTCTCTCTCTCCCTCTCTCACCTTGCGCCGCGTGTCGCGAGTGCCTCGCAACCTATTGTTGTGTCCTTAGTCTTTCTCTCTCTCCCACCTCTATCTCTCTCTCTCCCTCTCTCACCTTGCGCCGCGTGTCGCGAGTGCCTCGCAACCTATTGTTGTGTCCTTAGTCTTTCTCTCTCTCCCACCTCTATCTCTCTCTCTCCCTCTCTCACCTTGCGCCGCGTGTCGCGAGTGCCTCGCAACCTATTGTTGTGTCCTTAGTCTTTCTCTCTCTCCCACCTCTATCTCTCTCTCTCCCTCTCTCACCTTGCGCCGCGTGTCGCGAGTGCCTCGCAACCTATTGTTGTGTCCTTAGTCTCTCACTCTCTCCCACCTCTCCCTCCCCTATCCTCTCCCCCTCTCACCTTGCGCTGCGTGTCGCGAGTGCCTCGCAGCCTATTGTTGTGTCCTTAGTCTCTCTCTCTCCCTACCTACCTCTCTCCTATCCTATCTCTCTCTCACCTTGCGCCGCGTGTCGCGAGTGCCGCGCCGCCTTGAGCAGGCGGTGCCGGTGTCCGTACGCAGGCACGCCAACCGCTCGTAAGTCCTCGTGAGACATCTCCGACAGGATGTCCACTGTGATCTGTCTGTCTCTCTCTCACTCACCTTGAGCGGCTAACTCTCCCTCTCTCACCTGTTACAGTGTCCTTAGTTCCTCTCCCTGCTCTTACTTCCTCTATTTCTCTGTCTTTTACCTTGCGTAGCATCAAGCATGTCACGAGTGTCTCACAGCCTTGAACAGCCTCTGTTGGTATCCGTAGTCTCTCTCTCTCTCTCCTACCCACCTCTCTCTCTCACCTGGCTTTGTAAGAAAGCTAGATGGGTGAAAGAAATAGTGATATTTCTCTCACCCATCCACCTTTCTCTCTCATTTTGGGCGGCGTGTCGCGAGAATCTTGCAGCGTTAAGTAACCTGTGACAGTGCTCTAGGCTCTCGCAGCCTATAGCAGTGTCTATAGGCACTCTCTACCTCTCTCATCTCTCTCTCTCTCCTCTCTCTCTCCCTCTCTCACCTTGGGCCGCGTGTCGCGAGTGCCGCGCCGCCTTGAGCAGGCGGTGCCGGTGTCCTGTCTCTCTCTCTCCTCTCTCTCTCCCTATCCTATCTCTCTCTCACCGTGCGCCGCGTGTCGCGAGTGCCGCGCCGCCTTAAGCAGGCGGTGCCGGTGTCCGTACGCAGGCACGCCCACCGCTCGCAGGTCCTCGTGAGACATCTCTGAAAGGATGTCCACTGTGATCTGTTCCCGCTCCAGGATGGACGCCAGCTGTTCTAAGCCGATGCTGGAACAAACACACACAAAATCAAAAATCAAAATTATCTTTATTTGTATAGACCAGTGTTTATCAACCTGTGGGTCGCGAACCCCTGGGGGGTCGCCAATACTCAATACTCAATTCTTTATTGCCAAGCCTCTATACCATGTTTAACCCTCCCATAGAGGAGGGTGGAATTCCCTTACCCTGCGCACTTCCTAGGCGCTATCACTTACTCCTACCTACCACTGACTGGGTACCACTAATTACTAGTGAATGAAACACTGTCTTGAGGTCAACTGAATTCAATGCTTTATTGCGTCCCGGTTATATATAAAGGCCGGGCCAAAAATCTGGACACCGCGGGCTAAGATTTTGCACCCCGGTCGCTAGAAGTCGTAAAAACTACTTCAGTAAAAAAGTAATCGTATAAAGACAGATTAATCCGAAATCTAATTATGCAAATGTTGTATGGATTGAAGTATTCGGTCCCTGCAAACATCTTTGCAACATTATAAAACGCATGTAAAAAAGCGAACGGTAAGGGGTCGCCAAAATTTTTTTCTTACTCATATACTCATAAAAAATTTTTCATACTAAGGGGGTCGTGTCATGAAAAAGGTTGAAAAATACTGGTATAGACTAATTAAATTAGTACTTACAAATCGTCAAATGCTCTTATGGAGCCTATACATGTCTCATTCTTTTTTTACCCTACCAGCGCTTCGAGACTAACATTTGGCAAGTGCTGAGAAGAAGCGCCGCAACAAACTCAAAATATGAAAAGGAGTGTATAAGAAAAGATAACGACGTTTGAAGAAACTTTGTGTGGATAATTTTTGTATTAATATTGCATTTTCTTCCCTAAACTTTGAATTTTTGACGAACTTCAACATCTTATTACTACATTATGATATATTATTGGAAAGAAGAGAAACAAGAGATGTTTTTAAGACCATTAGCAATCCATTATCACCTTTCATTTCTTTAAAGCTAAACGTCCACTTGTCGGTATCGTATGCAACGGACGCATCGTACGAAACACATCGTACCGGATGTGCGATGCGTACGATGCGGACAGGTGGACGCACTTATATGAGTTTCCATATAAATAATACTACGATCCGTTTTGTACGATGCGTCCGTTGCGTACGATACCGACAAGTGGACGCTTAGCTTTAATCGAATTCTAAGGCTGGGTTGCACCATCTTACTTTAACTTTGACAAACGTCAAAGATCTGTCAAACTCCATACAAAAAGCAACGATTATCGTCATAGTTACCGTTAAAGTTAGGTGGTGCAACTCAGCCTAAGTAGATTTTTTTTACCGTGGTTACTTAGTTCGTTCGTTCGGAACTAAAATTTATTTTATTTGACTAAATACACATTCGATATTAATCTATACTAATATTTAAATGCGAAAGTAACTCTGTCTTGCTTTCACGCCTAAACCACTGAACCGATTTTGATGAAATTTGGCATAGAGTATGTGCGGGACTAACTCCCGGGAAAGGACAGTTTAGTTTAGTAGGATAGTTTTTATAACGCGTTTTTATATTTTTATGACGCGCGCGATAAAGTTTTTCTGTGACAGACAAAATTCCACGCCGGCAAAGCTGCGGGCAGAAAGATAGTTTCATGATAATGAAACCCTGCTCTTTGGTGAAAGATTCAAAAGTAAAAATAAATATTATTTGGTATAATATGGCTAACTGTGAAAACCGAACGGAACCATATAGATCTTTACTTTCTGTAAGTTTTACACTTACAGAAAGAAAGCTTTGTATCTCGCAATAAAGTTCAACCGCAGCTCAATAGATGGCGCTGTACGGCTTTAGATCGCGCTAACATTCGTTTTTGTCCAGTTCTTTAAGTACGCACCAGCGTTGTGTGCTTGTTATCCCACTTCTGATGTTATGTATTTTTGAAGGCGACGTATTAGGTATATCAATACCTAGGTATCGGATATACTAATAATGCGTTGCATAAATAAAATAAAAACCCAAATAAATAAATGGAGAAGTTTCTTGATTTTGAAGACATTATATTTCTCCGAATGTGATTAAAATATAGACCAAAACCAGGCCTGTTCATCTCCGCGAGTTTACATCGAAACAAAACACGCACGATGGCCCACCTACAGGATACTATTCGACAAGGCCTCACATACGAGCGAACATTGACTCACGCACGCGTATTCTTGTGTATGATGGAAGAAAATAAAGAAAATGGTGTACTAAATACTGTGCAGTATTTAACTGCCTAAATAATAATAAAAACACAAAATGTACTTTTTTAAGTTGCCTCAAGACACTGAGAGGTAAATAAGTAGTTAATATTATTCATGCTAAATCATGTATTTCCTCCGCCATTTTCCGCAGTTGGGCACCTCACGTCACATCATTTTACCGGGTTAGTCCCAACGACCCCGGTGGATCTGCCCCGTCAACGGGGTGGATGGGAAAAAGTGTTTCAACGACCCCGGTAGTCATAGTCTTAGCTATACTCTATAGCTATGACTACCGGGGTCGTTGAAACACCTTTCCCATCCACCCCGTTGACGGGGCAGATCCACCGGGGCCGTTGGGACTAACCCATTTTACCGAAGTCAGCCCTATAGCTTCGGCGCAGTGCCGATCACTGACGTTTGTCAACAAAATGGTGCTTAACTCTTGAGACAGGCTAAATTACACCATATTGTTAATGACATTGAGATTACATTTTTTTAAATACCTTCGCGAAGTAAAAGTTCTGTACGTAGTACTTATTATTATTCTGTGCCAAAACTAAAAAGACGGTGAAGTTTTTTTTAAATCCATAAAGAAATGGCTGAGAAATTAATTATTTAAATTACCTAGATATTTTCGCGTGGAACTCGAACATAAGCGGTGCCGTGATGTCACGCAGCCCGTTCTAGTTTCAAAAACAATACTTATAGATGACCCACGCTGAATTGTCCCACCAAACTCAATGACAGGGGGGCGCTACCATCGTTCAACTATATGGTTTCCAACATGGAAAAAATCGGAACTAGCGATCCGATATTGACGGTGGCGCCCCACTGTCAATGTCAGGCATAAGACAGTTCAGTATTTTGGAACTATTCGCTGGGTGCGAAGTACTAGGTGGGGGTAACATAATCGATCGCAGCGCTCATGGTGGTCAAAAGTAGAAATAATGTAAGCTCTGTCATCAGATGTATCTGTCAATGGCAAAGCGATTCTACTTAATACATTTTAATATCATTAATTAATCGCATGAATAGGGTCCTACTGGGAACTTAAATAAAAGAGTAGACTGTTTTTCGATAGGGTTGGTTTAATAGCCGTTTACAATTTGGAAATAACTAGACTATACAACGTGGTAGTACAAAAATGAGTCACAGTAGTTGTTGTGCACAGATGTTTGTCTTATGATGAGAGCGTAAATTATTGAACTCTGCCCTTGTTTTGTTCTTAATTCTTCTACATCTCGGACTTGTCCAGCCAATACCAACAACTTTCCTTTAAATACGGTTTGTGGTTGGAATTTGATATTGTAAAACTCACAAACCTGGTCTTCAAAACAATACTCATTTCGATCTGAAAACGATATTTAATTTATTACTAGTGATACAGGAACATTTAAATATATTTACTGTTATATAATGAAACCGTTAAAGTAGCTTTTTCTTTTTGTTTTACTGTAAAACTACAACTATAAATAAAGTAAACAAACCCTGACACAATCAAAATTAAACACACTTTTTGGACTTACCTCATTTGATTTGAATGACCAAAATGATTTCAAAACCTTTTTTCCACCCAAATCGTGGTATCACAACAATTTATTAGTTGAAAATATTTGTTATTTTTTCATTTCGATATTTTTTCACAAATATACGACCTAAATGTCAATGTGACAGAGCCCACAAAGTTGTGGACGCTAGTTGGCGCTGTAATCGTGCACAGAGACAATACCACCCATGGCACGGTAATACTATCTATACAGTATTCCAACTCGGCCCTAATTTTGAAATAAATGTCAACAGTCGCGCGGTACGTCACAGTATGACAACATGCGATAGGGCTGCCCACCTTACAGTACCTAGTTTAATTACATCTGCCTACTTAGAATTTCTATCTAGTTTTTTCATTGTATTTTTTTATTTAGTTAGACAAACAAAATACTTTGTGAATGGAATAGGTTACAAATGTTTGTTTTGTGATTAGTAGATTTAGTAAAATTTGAATTTGAATAAAAACTACTTAAATAATTTACTTTAATAGTTACTTTAATTTCGGGCGGGCGAAGTCGTGGGCAAAAGCTGGATTAATACAATATTATTATAATTTTAATTTCAAATCAAACTGACTGAAAATCACAATAGGACCAGTTTTTGACCAATTTGACCGTAAAAATGACGGTCAGTCAAATTCAATCAGTTTTGTCATTTTTAACACTTGGTTACCGACGTTCATTCGGCACATTCGCGACACCCCCGACTTTTGCATACCGAGCGCATACCGAGATTTTAATTTCGAAAGAAAGTTCTCGTTTCGTCTGTTTATATGAAGTTACAATACTGTATGATATTATTACCGTGCCCATGGCGCGTTGTCGAGAATGACACTTCACACTTTATGTCAAAGTCTTCTTCTTCTTTTTGTATATGGCCAATATGGCCATGTCTGGTCAATATTTAAAAAAGGTTACATAATTTTACTAAGAAAATTAAAAACTTCTAGATTTTATAATATGTTTACATAAACTTGTATGTTTTCATATTTTCGATTTATTGGTTCCTTAAATAACGCTTCAGCTTAGCCGTACTTAATTCTACCTGTTAATCATTATTCTCTCCTCCACAGGACAGGCAATGCCTAGTGTGGAGGTCTGTCTTTTAGTTATTGTATTGTTTGATTCTGGCAATAAATATTTTCATTTTCATTTTCATTTTCACTTAAAATTACTTAAAAACTAAAATTTAAAAATTACCAAATAAAAAACTGGATAAAAAAAGTTGGATCTGTCAACAGCACTGGAACAGGTGTTATTTACTGTTTGTACTTCGAATGACTGTCGTGACTACACTGATCAAAATGGCGCGAATATTTGTTATGCGCAACTATAGAGCTCTGTAACTTTTTAATTTGTAGTTATATTTTCATGATTCTTTCACAATTATTATTAGTTTTACTTATAGTTTCGAGATTTATTAAAAAAATTGGAAACGGGTCCATGATTGAAATTGATTGAATGATTTTGCATGCTGAAAGGTCGTGGATGATTGGGAAAAACTAAAACACTTGCAACAGTTGTAACCTGTTGTATGTAAACCCAAATTTCGCAAATAAAAATTATTTGATTAGATAATATTCATTCAAATACAAATAAACTAGCTTTTGCCCGCGGCTTCATCCGTGCGAAATTTGAAAGTTATTTATGCAACGCATTATTAGTATATCAGATACCTAGGTATTGATATACCGAATACGTCGCCTTCAAAAATTTATAATTCAGAAGTGGGATAACCTTGAAATAACGCTGGAGCATACTTAAAGAACTGGGAAAAAACGAATGTTAGCGCGATCTAAAGCCGTACAGCGCCATCTATTGAGGCGCGGTTGAACTTTGTTGCATTTGAAATATTATGGCGTTAGAAGCGGTCCAAGCTGCCGGTGGTCAGGGTCACAGAGAGCTGGGTTGCACCATCTTACTTTAACTTTGACAAACGTCAAAAATCTGTCAAAATCCATACAAAAATAATAATAATAAAATGTTGCCCCTCAGTCCGGTCTATACGACTCATGACGCCAGGTCGGGCATTTAAAGCCCGGTCTGTGAGAACGTAGAATTTTGTCCAATGACCCCAAGCTACCCATCCTTATCGGGGTCATTGGACAACATTCTATGTGCTTGCAGACCAGACTATAGTCGCTGGCTAGTCACCGCCTGCCATTTTTTCAGTCCGAGACTATGAACCAGGCAGATGACCCGTAGTCTCCATCCATAGCCCAGTAACCAGTCCCTCCATCCTTCATCCATAACCCTAGTCCATGCTTCAATAACTGCAATAGCTTCTGTGCACAGGCTGGGGATGGTCTCTGGCTACATCCCATGATATAGTCAGAGACTAGATCCAGCATGTGCACTATTTTCAGTTTTGTCGATTATTTTGCGCTTAAAACGGCCTCTACGTGTTGGATCTGTATCCCCACGCAAGCCTTATAAAGGACCGGGCCACTTTTGATCCGTGAGCTCCAAAGCGTACAAATAATAAAAAATATCCATGGACATTTTACACTACGCTTCTAATCCCAAACTAATAAATAATCCCAAGCTATGTATTGATATTTGTCACATATCGTCATTAATTATAGCCTATAATGTTAATCTGGGTTATAAACATTAATACTGTAAAGTTTCAACAAAATCCGTTCAGTAGTTTTTGCGTGAAAGAGTAACAAACATCCAGACATCCAAACTTTCGCCTTTATTTATAATATTAGTAGGATAATTTGTGCAACGCATTATTAGTATATCAGATACCTAGGTATTGATGTACCCAATACGTCGCCTTCAAAAATAGTTTCTTTATAAATCAGAAGCGGGAGGCAGATAGACTACCCTGGTGCATACTTAAAGAACTGGGAAAAAACGAATGTTAGCGCGATCTAAAGTCGTACAGCGCCATCTATTGATCTGCGGCTGAACTTTGTTGCAACATGCAAAGATTACCTCTCTGTAAGTTAAAACCTTTTTTTTTAAGATTTATGGTTTCGTTGGGTTTTGACAGTTAGCCATGCCAGTTTTATTATTTATTTTAACTTTTAATTCTTTGTCTGTATTAGAAAACTCTTATACAGGGTGGAAACGATAAGTGATCTCATTCGATTATTTCTAAACTATACGAAATATCAAAAAACTAATTACTGATCCTGAAAATGCTTCATGAGCTCTACCAAACAGTATCAATAATAGGTTAGAGAATAAACTGGATCCGTCCGAAAATGCAATGTTTCCAGCTTCCATACATTTAGTAAAGCCACATAATATTAAAAACTACACAAGATATCATAAAACTGGTTACTGATCCTAAGTCCTTCACGAGATCTTTTCAACGGTATCAACATTAGGTTACAAAATAAACTGGATCCATCCAAAAATTCGATGTTTCCATCTTCCATACATTTAGTACTACCAGACTCATGGCACTCATTTCTTGATAAAATTGTAGCAAGTAAAGCCTAAAACTAATGTTTTCCATTAATAATTTTAAATAATTATTATTATATTAATAGTTTATTATTTAATAAAAAATAAACTACAATTTACGTGGTTGGCATACATTTTGTATGGAAGCTGGAAATATTGAATTTTTGGTTAGTTACAGTTTATTCTGTAACCTATTATTGGTACTGTTTAAAAGAGCTCGTGAAGCACTTTCAGGATCAGTAGCCAGTTTTTCGATATCATGTATAGTATAGTTTAGAAATAATCGAGTGAGATGATCACTTACCGTTTCCACCCTGTATAATTATATTTACAGAAGGGCGCTACCATCAATACCGGGTTATCAGTTGCCACTTGACGTTTCAGAATCGTTTGACTATAGTTGCAATTTGACAGTTATCTTGACAGGTTTGACATAAAGTCTGTAGCGACTCCGACGTCGACAGAGTCCAAACTTCCTTGGAAGCCCTTCACCCAGTATAGTTATCCAATACTGAAGTGTTTCATATAATTTTGTCATTGACAGGAGGGCGCTACTATTAACACTGGGTTCCGGTTTCTTCCACGTTGGACAACACTGAATTTAAATTCAAATATAATTAATTATTCAATTTGAAGTGACATTGTCATAGCTGGAACGGTTGAAAAGACTACTATACTGGGTTATAGGGTAAGTTGTTAAAAATATTGCCACTTGACGTTTCAGAATCGTTTGACTATAATTGCAATTTGTCAGTTCCCTTGACAGGTTTGACAGTTACCTTGACAGATTTGACAGATACCTTGACAGGTTTGACAGTTACCTTGACAGGTGTGAGTTACCTTGACAGGCTTGACAGTTACCTTGACAGGTTTGACAGTTACCTTGACAGGTTTGACAGTTACCTTGACAGGTTTGACAGTTACCTTGACAGGGTTGACAGTTACCTTGACAGGAAAGTCTGTAGCGACTCCGAAGTTGACAGAGCGGACGCGGGGCGTCCCGCCGCGTCCTCTAAGCTCCCCCGGGAACCCTCCGCCCAGTAGTTGCTTGGGACCACCTGGAAATAATATATAATGTTTGATTGAAAAATGTGTCTTGACATTGACACTATGGAGCCAGATAAAAGTCTAGATTTACTCTTTGAACTCTGATTATAATGCAATTTAGTTAGGACGTCCACCCACAAGGTGGACCGACGACCTCATAAAAGTAGGAGGTAGGCGCTGGAAGCAGGCCACTACCAACCGGTTGTTATGGAAATCATTGGGGGAGACCTATGTTCAGCAGTGGACGTCCTGTGGCTGAATAGGCCAGATGACAAAATATCAATTATTTCTCCGTCAGACAGACGTCTAATATTTTTTAATTAGATAGTCAAACTATCTAATTAAAAAATATTAGCCGTATTTTTTATTTTCTTTCATAATTAAATAATAACAGTGCTATAGCCTGACCAGGAACATAAAAACCCTCGCCATGTTGCGGAAAACTAATGGTACTAATTTCTTTTAATGGCAACAGTAACTNCATAAACATGTTGCATCCTCGAAACTTGCGCCGACAAATAAACAAACAGCCTTGTTTCTACTTAAATAACGCCTAAACAATACAGTTCAATCTTCCCAACAATAGGCTAGATGACAAAATTTCAATTATTTGTCCGTCAGATAGATAATTAGAAAATATTAGACTCATATTTTTTTTTCATAATTAAATAATAATAGTGCTATAGCCCGACCAGGAACATAAAAACCCTCGCCATGTTGCGGAAAATTAATGGTACTAATTTCTTTTAATGGCAACAGTAACTGAAAACTTCATTGACATGTCACCTTGCATGTCAGTCTATTGCTGTCAAAGTGTAAACAAACTTTATTTTATATGTGCGCAATTGATTTTGTGAATTAAATTGCTAAAATCTGTTTATAGTCGTGAAAGAAAAGTGGTTCACAATGTGTTAAAGTATTTGTATTTTTTTTCGTTAATTTATGAAAATATCAAATTAGCCCGTAATCCTGAATCCTGATACATAAAGTTAGCCTATTAATTTAACACAGGTACGACTGTACTCAGTGTTGCACTATCAAATGCAATTGACGCGCCTCTATGCCAGGGTTTTTATGTTCCTGGTCAGGCTATACATCGAGTTGAAATGGCGCGATACGTCACACTTGAGTAGAATTTTTACTCAAAAGTGAGGTCACGTGTCATTTCAACTTAATATAATACTGTAATTATTCGATTATGGAAAAAAATATGAGTAATATTTTCTAATTATCTGTCTGACGGACTAAATACAATTTCGATTTCATTACCCAGTCATCATCCCTATTCATTTTTCCTTTCACAATCCATTATGTCTTATAATTTTCGCTTTTAGGAGACTCCTGAATCGCTATTCGACTAACATCGTTTATCGGTTTCTTGCAGTGCGGTTTCTTCAAGCGCAACCGCCCCTCGGACCACGCCGAGCGCCAGCCCTTGAACGGTCGCGATGAGCACCTTTGATATCCGACCACCGACATCGGAGTGACGAGCGACACCGGCGGGACCGCCGACACCGCCGACTCCGCTGAGTCGGCGTCCGGCGGTCCGGCGGCCGACTCCAGCTCGTCCACTGATGCGGCCAGCGACCTCACGAGCCGAGACTCCACTAGTCTGGATAGGTACTGACAGAAAGTACTGGTGTACAAGTTTTAAGAAATTGATCAATGCATCTATTGATTTTAGGGAAGGAATCGTTCAGATAGCAATTTGCTTTCTGAAAATGCATTTAAAGAAAAATATCGATTGTTTCATCTTCTAGTAATTTAATAAGANGCACTATCAAATGCAATTGAAGCGCCTCTATGCCAGGGTTTTTATGTTCCTGGTCAGGCTATACATCGAGTTGAAATGTCGCGTGACGTCACTTTTGAGTAGATTTTTTTACTCAAAAGTGACGTCACGCGACATTTCAACTCAATATAGTACTGTAATGATTCGATTATGAAAAAAATAAAAAAATACGTGTCCAATATTTTTTTATTATCTGTCTGCCGGACTAAATAGAATTTCGATTTTATTACCCAGTCATCATCCCAATTGATGATGATGATGAGGCCATATTTGTTTCAGTGTCACTCACAGATAATGCCAAAGGCACGGTGTCCCCGCTAGGCATCAATACAGGATGGTGTGACGGCAGCGTAGGACGTCTACCCACAAGGTGGACCGACGACCTTATAAAGGTAGCAGAAAGGCGCTGGACTCAGGCCGCTACCAACCGGTCAATATGGAAATCATTGGGGGAGGCCTATGTTCAGCAGTGGACGTCCTGTGGATGATGATGATGAGACCATATTTGTTTTTTTTTTATGCATAACAAGGCAGGTATTTGACCACAATCGCACCTGATGTTAAGTGGGATGCGGTCTAGGATGGTACATATCTGCCCTGTAAGTGCTTATTCACTCTCGCCTTAAAGAGGCCCGGATTATAGTTTTCTGGAAAGACAGCAGCAGGCAACGAATTCCAGTCCCTAGCTGTTCGCATTATAAAAGAGTAATCGTCGGATTCATTGTCACTCACAGGTAAGGCCAAAGGCACAGTGTCCCCGCTAGGCATCAATACAGGGTGGTGCGGCGGCGGCAGCGGCGGCGGCGGCGGCGGCGGCGGCGGCGGCGCGTCTCCGGCGGCGCCGGTCATCGCGTCCTGGAAATATTAAAGCCAAATTAATTAATATAATTATCACGTTATCTGATTTTAGTGTGACTTCATTACATCATTCACGGCCGAATACTGAAACGCTACTCAAATCTTTCACTCAGCTGACGGGCTCCTAAATTTAAGTATCCTTCAATTTTAAATGGTATTCTCAAACGCCACTCAACGGATTTGAAGCCGTGATCAGCTAAGCAGCTGAAGTTGAATAACCTCCTTATTTCTTTCATTTTGAATATCCTTTTATTTTGGACCAATTACGAATTGGACCAATCGCGAATTGGACCAATCGCGAATTGGACCAATAGCGAATTGGACCAATCGCGAATTGGACCAATCGCGAATTGGACCAATAGCGAATTGAACCAATAGCGAATTGGACCAATAGCGAATTGGACCAATAGCGAATTGGACCAATCGCGAATTGGACCAATCGCGAATTGGACCAATCGCGAATTGGACCAATAGCGAATTGGACCAATCGCGATTGGACCAATAGCGAATTGGACCAATCGCGAATTGGCCCAATAGCGAATTGGACCAATAGCGAATTGAACCAATCGCGCCTAAACGCCATTCAGTCTCCACTGCACTGGAGCATGACCCTCTCTAAGTTACCAGAGGCAAATGGAGGATTTGGACCCAACGCGCACATCGGTCCATAGTTTTTTTTTGTATGTGACAGGAGGCAAGCGAGCAGACGGATAACCTGGGGAGCCTTCTCATAAAAACTCATTTATTTTTGCAAATAGGCTTTTAAAAAGCACTTTTACTTCGTAAATTACTATTTGCTTAGTCGGTGGGATAAACATTATACACCCTGGTGAGTCTAGCACAATCTCAAGGGCGTCATGAGGCGAAAATAAATGTTGAGAAAAATGAGAGTGACAATTTACAAAAATGAGGCCCGTGTTGAGATGTTATAGTTATAGCTCAGAAAAGCAAACACATACTACTCATTAGTAGCTATTAAATTCAGTAAAGTCGTCGTTTCAGCCGAAAGACGTCCACTGCTGGACAAAGGCCTCCCCCAAGGATTTCCACAAAGACCGGTCCTGCGCCGCTCCCACTAGGTGGACCGACGATCTGGTGAAGGTCGCGGAAAGTACCTGGATGCAAGCGGCGCAGGACCAGTCAGTAAAGTATTAATTTTAATTTGTCATTCTTATGTTTTGTTTTGGTTTTTATTTTCGAATAAAAAATATCGGTGTAGTTGGAACCATATTCCCTAAATAACTATCGGACCTGTAATAATGAGCGGACATCCTCCGCGCCTGCTAGGTCGAGAGCCGTCTGTCCTTCTTGGTTCTTGAGATACGGGTCCGCTCCGTGCGCTAGCTGTAACACAAATTACAATAGGGATGATGACTGGGTAATGAAATCGAAATTCTAATTAGTCCGTCAGGCAGACAATAAAAAAAAATTGGTCACATATTTTTAATTTTTTTCATAATCGAATAATTACAGTATTATGTTGAGTTGAAATGTCGCGTGACGTCCACTTTTGAGTAAAAAACCTACTCAAGCGTGACGTAACGCGCCATTTCAACTCGATGTAGCACTGTTATTATTTAATTATGAAAGAAAATAAAAAATATGAGTCTAATATTTTCTAATTATCTGTCTGACGGACAAATAATTGAAATTTTGTCATCTAGCCTATTACTTAATCTACTGGAGTTACACAATCGTTCGTTCGTTCATTTCAGCCAAATGACGTCCACTGCTGCACAAAGGCCTCCTCCAAGGTTTTCCACAATGCACGGTCCTGCGCTGCCCGCATCCAGGCTCTTCCCGCGATCTTTACCAGATCGTCGGTCCACCTAGCAGGAGGTCTGCCCACGCTACGTTTTCCAGCCCGTGGTCGCCACTCGAGAACTTTTCTGCCCCAACGGCCATCGTTTCTAAGAGCTATGTGCCACGCCCACTGCCACTTGATTTTAGCAATTCTGCGAGCTATGTATGTAGGCACAATAAGTAAATGGAAATAGCTTGTCACAAAACAGTAAAATCTGGGTCAATAAACTGATGAAAATGAACAAATAACTTATTTAGTATTAATTTAGTAGTAATTTAGTAGTTGACCAACCATATCACGCCATGTAATGTTAGAGGTATGATTGATAGATAATGAAATAAGTAAATAAACAACATTTAATATAAAATGACTTACCAATAAAGCACATAGCTGCGTCCGCGCTTTGTGCGCTGCTTCGTGTAGCGGCGTGAAGCCCCATCTGAAAAAGGAAAAACAGTAAATTATCATCTATAATGTCAACCAATAGTTATTAATACGTTTTTGATTAACACGTGTTTTATTTCTGGGCAATTTTAGAAATTATAGTCTATAGCCTTCCTCGATAAATGGGCTTTCTAATACTGAAATAATTTTTCAAATCAGACCAGTAGTTCCTGAGATTAGCGTGTTCAAGTAAACAAACCAACAAACAAACTCTTCAGCTTTATAATATTAGTATAGAAGTATAGATATATTTCATACTTGTCAGCAGCGTTAGGGCTACTACAAAACCCTCTGGCCTCTGATAGCTGTCAGCTTGCAGCAGGGCACCAACGTCCCCTACTTAAGCGTTGATCAGCGTACCCGTCCTCAGAAGTGTTTGTCAATGGGACTATTTTTTTGTGGAGCGAAAGGATATCTCTCTAATCCTAGCTTAGTCTCTTCGGGTCTCCCTTTAGTCCCCTGTCGCTAGTCTTTAGTCCCCTGTCGTTAGTCTCTAGCAGGGATGTTATGGATATTCGTAACCGTAACCGAACTTTCGGATCCGAAATAAAAAAATATCCGAAACCGTAACCGATTTAAAAGTTTCGTATAGTTTCGGATGTAGGTAGTTTAAATTGCTTTTTATAGCATTTTACGTAAAGGCATAACAGCCTGATTTACCTTTATAATGCCATCTAATATGATTTTTTTTATTACTTTTTATTCGATGTAAAGTGTGCGGCCATGAATGAATCGTGTTGGACAACTATTGCAAATTGCATCCTAAAGCACAGATATCTGTAACCGTAACCGAAACTTTCAGATATCCGAAACCGGTATAATATTATTCCTATATCCGTAACCGTATCCATAACCGAAACTACATATCCAAATCAAATCATTTATTTGCATTACATGTGTTTCCATAACATCCCTAATCTCTAGTCAGTCCCCTCAACAGCATTGGGGCATTTACCAACCCATGAACAACAACAACAACTCATTCGGTTCTGATAGAACCCATCAAGTGTCTTAATCTGGACACTATCTCTCCCTCCCTCTCTTTTCACGATACCAGAGTAAATACAAATGAGTAGGTCATCTTCATAGAAACGCACCGAGCGCGGTTTGTATGTGAGCGCGCCAATACGTATGCGGCGCGCACGCACACACTGACAAAATTTAGCGTGGATTAGCGCCGTGTAACGCCCAATTTCGTCAGTTACTCTGACGATACTCTCATACCTGTAGAACCCAGTTGTGGCACCAGAATCTCGGCTAAAAGTGTTTTCTCTAAGTCTGCTCTCTCTCGCAGATACCTGATACCTATCAGCAGCGGTGGGGCTTCTAGAACCCTGTGGTGGCACCGGAATCTTCGCTAAGTATCTTACTCTAGGTTCTCTCTCCCTCTCTCGCTATCTCCATCACTCTCTCTCGTTCTCTCCCTTCAGCTCTCTCGCTCTCTCCCTCCCTAGAAACCAGTGGTGGCACCAGAATCTTCGCTAAGTGTCTTACTCTGGATTCTCCCTCTCTCCCTCCCTCTTTCGTTCTCCTTACCTCTCTCCCTCCCACTCTCTCTCTCCCTAGAACCCAGTGGTGACACCAGAATCTTTGCTAAGTGTCTTACTCTAAGGTCTATTTCCCTCCCTCTCACTCGCGCTCTTCCTCGCTCCCTCCCACACTCTCTCTCTAAGATAATTTCTTACCTGTTGGCGGGCGAAGTGTATAGAAGTGTCTTATTTTGGATTCTCCCTCTCTCCCTCCCTCTCTCTCTCTCTCCGGCACCAGAATCTTTGCTTAAAGAGTCAACTCTATGGTCGCTCTCTCTGTCTCTCCCTCCCTCCTTCTCTCTCTTTAAGATACTTTCTTACCCGTTGATGGTGTATAGAAGTGTCTTACTCTGGATTATCTCTCCCCTTCCCTCCCTCACTCTCTCCCTCCCCCCTTCCTGTCTCCCTCCCTCTCTCTCACCTGTCGGCGGCGTTGGGGGGCGTGCCACGAGGGACACATTGGCAGGTGTACTAGAACCCATTGCTGACACCAGAATCTTCGCTAAGTTTCTGACTCTAGGGTCTCTCTCTCTCCCTCCCTTTCTCGCTCTCTCTCTCGCTCCCTATCCCTCTTCCCCTCTCTCCCTCCCCCCCTCACCTGTCGGCGGCGTTGGGCGGCGTTCCCGCCCGCAACAGTAGCGCGGCAAGCTCCAGGTGCCCGTACGAAGCCGCGTTGTGGAGCGGCACCAGCCCGCCCTTGTCTCGCGCGGAAACGCCCGCCCCGCCCTCTAAAAGAGCTTGGGCGACTTCTAAGTTGTTGTAGCCGGCTGTTGGAGAACATCACTATTAAAAACGGCCGTCTAACCTTCCCACACCTGGCACACAATCAGGCGAAGTTTTGAAAAGAAGTGATGACCGATAGACCGACGCGAAGTACTGTTTTTGTGGTGTCAAGCCCCAGATGGGGGAGAATTGACTATGAGAAGGGACATGGATCAGAGAAATTTGTAGGGAGTCAAGCAAAGCGCCCGGGGAAAAGAGCCCAGAGCAAGTACCCGCGTCTTCCCGAGATTCGGTTCGTACGCCGTGAGGCAGGAAGAACCATGGGTGGTGGTGGGTTAACCTTCCCATACCTGGCACACAATCAGGCGAAGTTTTGAAAAGAAGTGATGACATATTATTATCAACGATAGACCGACGCGTCGCGACGCGAAGTTCTGTTTTTGTGGTGTCAAGCCCCAGATGGGGGAGAATTGACCATAAGAAGGGACATATTATGGAACAGATAAATTTGTAGGGAGTCCAGCAAAGCTCCCGGGGCTTTCCCCAGGAAGCCCAGAGCAAGTACCCGCGTCTTCCCGAGATTCGGTTCGTACGCCGTGAGGCAGGAAGAACCATGGATGGGATAACCTTCCATCTTAAAACTGGCCTCTAGGTTGTTTGAAAAACACCGCTTTAGAGCGATAAGACCGCCTAAATTGTGCATTTCTTTCGTTGTTTTTGTATTTTCTTCTTGCCTTCTCTTTAAAACTCATAAAACTCATTTATTTATGCAAGTAGGATTTTAAAATGCACTCTTAGGCCCGGTTTTTTGATTCGTAGTTAAAATAACCAATAGTCAAATTTGACAGATGTCAAATGACAAGTGGTTAAATATCAGAAAAAAATGTTTTTCGAACAATGGTTAGCTTGGCTTTTAGTACATTTTTTAACTATTAGTTAACATTTTGTTAATATTTAACCATTAGTAGCAAAATTTAACAATCTGTTATTTTAACTATAAATCAAAAAACTGGGCCTTAAAAGAACAAAACTCAAAACAACGTATTCCTAAAAGAACAGATATTGTAATCAAGGAAAATCATTTACTTTTAAATTGACCGTAAAAAATGTTTTAGTGCATTTGAAGGAAGACTAAATAAAGTTGGTGAAATAGTGACCAGTGGGGTACTCAGTGTAACCTAACCGTTGCTCAGTCGAAAACCACAGCTTTTTATCCCATTTGTTTGTTTTAGGCGGTTGTGTTTTTTAATGTAAAAGTATCATTTTATACCTTTTCTTCCTTAGAAGTAAAGTAAATGTATTTTTTATCAATTTTTACTACACTAAGAAAATGCATAATAAACTTACCAGCTAAATGTAAAGGCGTGGAATTCCTTCCGTGTGCGTCTCTACAGTTCACGTTTTGTGGCGTTATTAGTTTCCTGAAAATAAAGCGTGATAATGTCAATTTTATACCCATATCATACTAACTTTAGCCCATGGTTTCACTCGCGTCAAATGGGGCGTCCATTAATTTATTTGAGGTGATTATGGAGATTTTACACCCTTCCTCCCCTTTAGTGAGATATCGTGAGATTTGTCTTGACCCCATCCCCCTCTCTATTCTCAAGTGAGATTTGACTTGCCAAATGTTGGTCTCGAAGCGCTGGTAGGGCAAAAAGATTATGAAACATGTGAAGGCCCCATAAGAGCAAAACTTTTAAAGTATTTTTTTTAATTAGTCTTTTATTTTATTTTTATTATTATTTGATGATTTGTGAGCACTATTTTTAATATTCCATGCAAATAAAGGATTTTTGACTTTGACATTTGATTATTCTAATGCGTATTTTAGTCTAAATACGATATTTTATGCTTCTTTGGATTTATTAAAAAAAACTGGCTTGACTCCCTTCCCCCTAAAAGCCTCACGTCATAATGGATGCCCCGTTATTTATAGGTTTCAGAAAGAACAAAAAAACTTTGTAGAATTCAAATAAACCTAATAAAAATAAATATTTTTTCTACCTAGCTCTGGCCAAGTCTCCTCTCTTAGCCGCGTCCAATAGTGCCGCGTCTCCCCTCAGCGCGTCGGCTGTATCGCTGTCTCCCGCTCGCACCAACTGTAGGGGAGTTAAGCCGTCGCGATTCCTTCTTGTTGGGTCCGCACCATGCTGGAAATATGAATGAATGAATGAAATTATTCCTACCATTCGTTCACACCGCTGCAACTCCTGTGTAGCCAGGATCTACAGCTTGACCGCCAATAAAAAGTAACCAGTGAAGGCCAAGTTTGTCCCAGGGGAAAGTAAAACTGTCGTTGGTCCCGCAACAAAATTAATCAGAAGAACAAAACACAGTAGGCCTAAGATGCGCACGGTGATAACTTTTATCGACGTCAAAATGTATGGACAAAATCGATAAAATGGCGTGATAACCGCTTACCGCGGCGTGCATCTTAGGCCTACAGGAGGAATGAAAATACTGAAATAGGGTTCACACCAGTGTTCCTGCAGTGAAGACTAAATGACGATGACCTGATCATGACCAAATAAGACTTACCTTAAGCAGTAACCACACGATCTCCACTTACTTGCCTCTGTTATATTACCTGCCTCGATTTTTCTATTTATAATAAACAGGGTAAAAAACTTCGATACCGCGATTCAGGATTGTAGGCGCGTTGGCGCTGTTGGGCGAGTGCTACCACTAGCTTGTAGTGGCGTGTCGATGGATGTCGCCACAAACTGTAGGCCAAATGCCACCTGTCATGCCTAAAATGATGATGATAATGACTCACCTTGAGCAGTAACCGTACGATGTCCGCCTTGCCCTTGGCAGCGGCTTCGTGCAGCGGCGTAAAGCGCCACAGGTCAGCTGCGTTGACGCCGGCGCCAGCGGCGACTAACAGCTCCGTCACCTCGTAGTGGCCGTAGGAACACGCGTTGTGGAGTGGGACTAGGCCGCTGGAGGGAAAATGGAAGGAAATAAGAAAACAAGCAAAGAAAAGGCCATTGGTAGAAAAGTATAAGGCACGGGTTTCGCCAAGGCGTAGCGAAAAAGAGAGATGTATAGGGCGGACTCATTTTTATTTATAATTTTACAGCAGCGGCAGCGTGGAGCCAATCAGAGCTGTGCGAAGTGGAGAGAAGATGTGGAAATAATTAAATCAGAGGTGTAATTGTGTAAAGCAATCGTAAACATTTGACGGTTCATAACGTACGATAAAGTCAGTTAAACAAAGCGTTTGACAGAAAAATCGTTCGTTATGAACTGTCTAATGATTACGATTGCTTTACACAATTCCACCTCAGAGGTGGAATTATGTAAAGCAATCGTAATCATTTGACAATTCATAACGTACGATAAAGTCAATTAAACAAAGCGTTTGACAGATAATCGTACGTTATGAACTGTCAAATGATAACGATTGCTTTACACAATTCCACCTCTGTCTGGTTATTTAAAACACTTCTCCGCTCCGCCTTGGTGGAAACTGGGTCTTAGATTTTTCTCAATATTGTACAACTTTTTCTTATGAGAATAAAGATCTCAAACCATCTGGCCAGCGTGGGGAGTGTAGTGTAGGCCAAAACCTTCATTTGCCACTGGTAAATTAGACAGGGTCATGCTCCTGCAATGGAGACTACATGACCTGTTGATAATGACTACACCATTCAACCATCACCTGTCCTCGTGTCTCAGTAACCAACCAATCTTTCAATCACTCATTCCGGTCGTTCTTTCATCTTCATCCTCATTTACTCGCATGTATTCTTTTGCACATTTATATGTATTTACTAGCTTTTGCCCGCGGCTTCACCAGCGTGAAATTTAGTTTGTCACATATCGTCATAAATTATAGCCTATATGTTATTCTGGGTTATAAACAATAATACTGTAAAGTTTCAACAAAATACGTTCAATAGTTTTTGCGTGAAAGAGCAACAAACATCCAAACAAACTTTCGCATTTATAATATTAGTAGGATTTCAAATTGCATGTAAGTGTCAAGATTCTAACTCACCCTTTATCCTTAGCGTGGACGTCCGCCCCTCTTTGTAATAACAGTTGCGCTAGAGGTAATCTGTTGTATCTGAAAACAAAGGATTAAAATATAAGTAAAACATGTTTGTTATCATAGCACTAGCTTCTGTATGTCATGACATTTGTCATTCTATTTTAGAAGTTTCTGACTAGCTGTAAAACCTCGACATCGCCCGTCCTGGCCGCTTCCTAGAAGCTTCTAGAAGCACTCACCCGGCGGCGAAGTGTAGCGGCGTGGAGTGGCGGCCGTCCTCGTCGCGACAGTTGACTAGTCTCGGTCGCGAGCAGAGTATGCTGCGGTGTGTCTCGACGTCGCCCGTCCTGGCCGCTTCCTAGAAGCTTCTAGAAGCACTCACCCGGCGGCGAAGTGTAGCGGCGTGGAGTGGCGGCCGTCCTCGTCGCGACAGTTGACTAGTCTCGGTCGCGAGCAGAGTATGCTGCGGTGTGTCTCGACGTCGCCCGTCCTGGCCGCTTCCTAGAAGCTTCTAGAAGCACTCACCCGGCGGCGAAGTGAAAGTCCGGTCGCCGAGCACATAGAAATTCGTCCAATGACCCCAAGCTACCCAGCTTTATCGCTCGCGCGTAATTTGCCCGTCCTGGCCGCTTCGAGTCTAGAAGCTTCTAAAGTCCGGTCGCATCCAATGACACCAAGCTACCAATCTTTATCGCGACTGTGCGACGGGCGGCCGCAGTGAGTGTGCGAGCGCGATACTAATATAATTACGCGCGAGCGATAAAGCTGGGTAGCTCGGGGTCATTGGACTAAATTCTATCTGCTCGGCGACCGGACTATAGTAGGGTGATTTTCTATACGGCATGCTCCGCTGTCGCCTGTCCTGGCCGCTTCCTAGAAGCTTCTAGAAGCACTCACCCGGCGGCGAAGTGAAAGTCCGGTCGCCGAGCAGATAGAATTTCGTCCAATGACCCCAAGCTACCCAGCTTTATCGCTCGCGCGTAATTTGCCCGTCCTGGCCGCTTCGAGTCTAGAAGCTTCGAAAGTCCGGTCGCATCCAATGACACCAAGCTACCCATCTTTATCGCGACTGTGCGACGGGCGCCCGCAGTGAGTGTGCGAGCGCAACAGCAATATGTATAATTACGCGTGAGCGATAAAGTTGGGTAGCTTCGGGTCATTGAACGAAATTCTATGTGCTCCGCGACCGGACTTTAGTAGGGTGATTTCCTAGACGGCATGCTCCGCTCTAGACGAAGTCTCCGCCACTCACCCGTCTCCACGTCACCCGTCTTGGCCGCTTCGAGTTCTAGAAGCTTCTAAAGTCCGGTTGCCGAGCAGATAGAACTTCGTCCAATGACCCCAAGCTACCCATCCTTATCGCTCGCGCGTAATTGTGTGCGCTCGCACACGCATTGACAGAAATATAATTACGCGCGAGCTATAAGGATGGATAGCTTGGGGTCATTGGACGAAATTCTATGTGCTCGATGACCGGACTTTACAATTACTCACCCGGCGGCGAAGTGTAGCGGCGTGGAGTGGCGGCCGTCCTCGTCGCGACAGTTGACTAGTCTCGGTCGCGAGCAGAGTATGCTGCGGGCTGTTTCGACGTCGCCCGTCCTGGCCGCTTCCTAGAAGCTTCTAGAAGCACTCACCCGGCGGCGAAGTGTAGCGGCGTGGAGTGGCGGCCGTCCTCGTCGCGACAGTTGACTAGTCTCGGTCGCGAGCAGAGTATGCTGCGGTGTGTCTCGACGTCGCCCGTCCTGGCCGCTTCCTAGAAGCTTCTAGAAGCACTCACCCGGCGGCGAAGTGAAAGTCCGGTCGCCGAGCACATAGAATTCTGTCGCGACTGTGCGACGGGCGCCCGCAGTGACTGTGCGAGCGCGACAGCAACATAATTACGCGCGAGCGATAAGGATGGGTAGCTTGGGGTCATTGGACGAAATTCTACGTGCTCACAGACCGGGCTTTAGTGACGCTAGAACAGTCGCGACTGTGCGACGGGCGGCCGCAGTGAGTGTGCGAGCGCGATACTGATATAATTACGCGCGAGCGATAAAGCTGGGTAGCTTGGGGTCATTGAACGAAATTCTATGTGCTCGGCGACCGGACTTTAGTAGGGTGATTTAGACGACATCCTCCGCTCTAGACGAAGTCTCCGTCAGAGTATGCTGCGGGCGGGTTTTCACGTCACCCGTTCTGGAAGCTACTAGATCCTTGCAGACATTCCCTGGACTGTTCTAGCGTCACTCACCCGGGTCTCCACATCGCCCGTTCTGGAAGTTAATGGAGCCTCACAGACACTCACTGGACTGTTCTAGAAGCTTCTAGAAGCACTCACCCGGCGGCGAAGTGTAGCGGCGTGGAGTGGCGGCCGTCCTCGTCGCGACAGTTGACTAGTCTCGGTCGCGAGCAGAGTATGCTGCGGGCTGTTTCGACATCGCCTGTTCTGGCCGCTTCCTAGAAGCTTCTAGAAGCACTCACCCGGCGGCGAAGTGAAAGTCCGGTCGCCGAGCAGATAGAATTTCGTCCAATGACCCCAAGCTACCCAGCTTTATCGCTCGCGCGTAATTTGCCCGTCCTGGCCGCTTCGAGTCTAGAAGCTTCGAAAGTCCGGTCGCATCCAATGACACCAAGCTACCCATCTTTATCGCGACTGTGCGACGGGCGCCCGCAGTGAGTGTGCGAGCGCAACAGCAATATGTATAATTACGCGTGAGCGATAAAGTTGGGTAGCTTCGGGTCATTGAACGAAATTCTACGTGCTCCGCGACCGGACTTTAGCAGGGTAATTTCCTAGACGGCATCCTCCGCTCTAGACGAAGTCTCCGTCACAGTATGCAGCCATCTCCACGTCGCCCGTCCTGGCCACTTCGAGTTCTAGAAGCTTCTAAAGTCCGGTTGCCAGGCAGATAGAACTTCGTCCAATGACCCCAAGCTACCCATCCTTATCGCTCGCGCGTAATTATATTTCTGTCAATGCGTGTGCGAGCGCACACAATTACGCGCGAGCGATAAGGATGGATAGCTTGGGGTCATTGGACGAAATTCTATGTGCTCGATGACCGGACTTTACAATTACTTACCCGGCGGCGAAGTGTAGCGGCGTGGAGTGGCGGCCGTCCTCGTCGCGACAGTTGACTAGTCTCGGTCGCGAGCAGAGTATGCTGCGGTGTGTCTCGACGTCGCCCGTCCTGGCCGCTTCCTAGAAGCTTCTAGAAGCACTCACCCGGCGGCGAAGTGAAAGTCCGGTCGCCGAGCACATAGAATTTCGTCCAATGACCCCAAGCTACCCATCTTTATCGCTCGCGCGAAATCTGTCGCGACTGTGCGACGGGCGCCCGCAGCGAGTGTGCGAGCGCGACCGCAACATAATTACGCGCGAGCGATAAGGATGGGTAGCTTGGGGTCATTGGACGAAATTCTATCTGCTCGGCGACCGGACTTTAGTAGGGTGATTTAGACGACATCCTCCGCTCTAGACGAAGTCTCCGTCAGAGTATGCTGCGGGCCGTCTTCACGTCACCCGTTCTGGAAGCTTCTAGATCCTTGCAGACTTTCACTGGACTGTTCTAGCGTCACTCACCCGGGTCTCCACATCGCCCGTTCTGGAAGTTAATGGAGCCTCACAGACACTCACTGGACTGTTCTAGAAGCTTCTAGAAGCACTCACCCGGCGGCGAAGTGTAGCGGCGTGGAGTGGCGGCCGTCCTCGTCGCGACAGTTGACTAGTCTCGGTCGCGAGCAGAGTATGCTGCGGGCTGTTTCGACGTCGCCCGTTCTGGCCGCTTCGAGGAGACGGAGCGCCGCTGCGTTTGCGCATGCATCTGGTGGCAGAAAAAAAATTCAATGAGTAGCTTATAGCGACTACTTCTCAGTTCTTTCGTTCGTTCGTTCGTTTCAGCCATAAAATGTCCACTGCTGGACAAAGGCCTCCCCCAAGGATTTCTACAAAGACCGGTCCTGCGCCGCTCGCATCCGGGCGCCTCCCGCGACCTTCACCAGATCGTCGGTCCACCTAGTGGGAGGCCTGCCCACGCTACGTCTTCCGGCTCGTGGTCGCCACTCAAGAACTTTCCTGCCCCAGCGGCCATCAGCCTAGTGTCGTATCTCGGCCTAGTGTCGTGTCTCGGCCTAGTGTCGTGTCTCGGCCTAGTGTCGTGTCTCGGCCTGGTGTCATGTCTCGGCCTAGTGTCGTGTCTCGGCCTAGTGTCGTGACTCGGCCTAGTGTCGTGTCTCGGCCTAGTTTCGTGTCTCGTCGTGTCTCGCGTGTTACCGGCGGGAGTGTCTCGGCCTAGAGTCGTGTCTCGTCCTAGTGTCGTGTCTCGGTCTAGTGTCGTGTCTCAGCCTAGTGTCGTGTCTCGGCCTAGTGTCGTGTCTCGGCCTAGTGTCGTGTCTCGTCCTAGTGTCGTGTCTCGTCCTAGTGTCGTGTCTCGTCCTAGTGTCGTGTCTCGTCCTAGTGTCGTGTCTCGGCCTAGTGTCGTGTCTTGGCCTAGTGTCGTGTCTCTGCCTAGGTTCGTATCTCTCCATAATGTCGTGTCTCGTCCCAGTGTCGTGTCTCTACCTAGTGTCGTGTCTCGGCCTAGTGTCGTGTCTCGGCCTAGTGTCGTGTCTCGTTCTAGTGTCGTGTCTCGGCCCAAACTGAGGTACTTGCATACAATGATTAAATCTGTCGTCCCGCGTACCGCGGCGGAGCGCGGCGCAGTGTGATAATCGCCTTATACATTGTCTAAAGTCAAGTAAAGGTGGCGGTTCGCGTTGCGACAGAGACAAGAGACCGAGCAGAGACCTGTCTGTCTCTGTCTCACTTGCAAACTGTATATACATTGTCTAAAGTGAAGTGTACCGGCGGGCGGGTGGTGCGCGTCAGTCCGGCCGTCGGCGCCGCACGCTAGAAGGAGGCGGCGGCTCCGGCAGTGTCTGGGCCTAGTGTCGTGTCTCGCGTGTTAAGGTGGCGGTTCGCGTTGTGACAGAGACAAGAGACTGAGACAGAGGATCGCGACCGTTACTTGACTAAGGCAGAGACCTGTCTGTCTGTCTCACTTGCGAACTGTGGCTTAGGCGATTATCACACTGCGCCGCGATCCGCGTGATTTCATATAAAAAATCCCGCGCGCAGACGCGTTGTCAGTGTGAAGTGCCGCCGTGTCGCGCGTGTTTTCTATACAAACTGAGGTACTTGCATACAATGATTAAATCTGTCGTCCCGCGTACCGCGGCGGAGCGCGGCGCAGTGTGATAATCACCTTATACATTGTCTAAAGTCAAGTAAAGGTGGCGGTTCGCGTTGCGACAGAGACAAGAGACCGAGCAGAGACCTGGCTGTCTCTGTCTCACTTGCAAACTGTATATACATTGTCTAAAGTGAAGTGTACCGGCGGGCGGGTGGTGGGCGTCGGGCCGGGCGTCGGCGCCGCACGCTAGAAGGAGGCGGCGGCTCCGGGAGTGTCTGGGCCTAGTGTCGTGTCTCGCGTGTTAAGGTAGCAGTTCGTGTTGCGACAGAGACAAGAGACTGAGACAGGAGATCGCGACCGTTACTTGACTAAGGCAGAGACCAGTCTGTCTCTGTCTCACTTGCGAACTGTGGCTTAGGCGATTATCACACTGCGCCGCGCTCCGCGTGATTTCATATATAAAATCCCGCGCACAGATGCGTTGTCAGTGTGAAGTGCCGCCGTGCCGCGCGTGTTTTCTATACAAACTGAGGTACTTGCATACAATGATTAAATCTGTCGTCCCGCGTACCGCGGCGGAGCGCGGCTCAGTGTGATAATCGCCTTATACATTGTCTAAAGTCAAGTAAAGGTGGCGGTTCGCATCGCGACAGAGACAGGAGACCGAGACACGAGACCGAGACGAGAGACCGCGACCGTTACTTGACTAAGGCAGAGACCTGTCTGTCTCTGTCTCGCTTGCGAACTGTGGCTTATACATTGTCTAAAGTCAAGTAAAGGTGGCGCTTCGCGTTGAGGCAGAGACAAGAGACTGAGACAGGAGATCGCGACCGTTACTTGACTAAGGCAGAGACCAGTCTGTCTCTGTCTCACTTGCAAACTGTCGCTTATACATTGTCTACTCCAGTGTTTTTCAACCTGTGGGTCGCGACCCCCTGGGAGTCGCAAAGCTTCTATAGGGGGGTCGCGAGAGGTCGTAAAAACCTCCTCAGTAAAAAAACATTAGTTACTACAAAGACAGAATTATCCGAAATCGAATTATGCAAATGCATTAAAATGTTGTATGGATTGAAGTATTCAGTCCCTATAAATATCTTTGTAACATTATAAAATGCATGAAAGAAAAACGCGAACGGTCGGGGGGTCGCCGAATATTTTTTCATACTAGGGGAGTCGTGTTATGAATAATTAACTTTTTAAAAAAATAAAACCGACTTCAAATGCGTGAACACAAAAAAAAACTAAAAATTAAAAATATTGCGTATAAAAAAGTTCTTCCCCAATTTTCCACCCTTGGGGGTGAAATATTTTCTTCAAATTCGCATGAAACCACCCTTTTGATAATACCTATTCAACAAAAAAATTATCGTTCAAATTGATTTATAATCGGCGGAGATATTGCGTATAAAAAAGTTCATCCCCAATTTTCCACCCTTGGGGGTTGTTTTTTCTATTATTAAATTTAAATGGGACCACCCTTGAGGTATTACCTATACGCCGAAAAAAGATTTGTTCAAATCGGTTCATAATTGGCGGAGTTATCGCGTAACAAACATAGAAAAAAAAAACATACGGGTCGAATTGAGAACCTCCTCCTTTTTTGAAGTCGGTTGAAAAGGTTGAAAAACACTGGTCTACTCTAAAGTCAAGTTTACCGGCGGGCGGGTGGTGGGCGTCGGGCCGGGCGTCGGCGCCGCACGCTAGAAGGAGGCGGCAGGCCGCGGCGGAGTCCCGGCGGGCCGCTAAGGAGAGAGCGCTCTCGCCGCGGGCGTCGCACGCGTTCACTTTTGCTCCTGAAATAAAAGAAAACTTGAATAAAATATTCTATAGTTCCTAGATATCGCACCTAATTAAGTTGCTGTCGCGCTCGCACATTCACTGCGGCCGCCCGTCGCACAGTCGCGACAGCAATATAATTACGCGTGAGCGATAAGGATGGGTAGCTTGGGGTCATTGGACGAAATTCTACGTGCTCGGCGACCGGGCTTTAGAAAGGGGGTAATTTTGCCACTTTTTGAACCCCCTTTTCCTCTTCGATGAGATATACAGGGTGTTTGGCGCATCGTGTGCCAAAATGATTTGGCGGATAGAATGGGTCATTTCCTATATTTTCAGCCCCCATAACACGTTCCATGTCAGGCGGCTACTTTTATATTAAGTTTTTTAGTAATTTCACCAAAATACCCAAATCGCATCATTTAATTTCGATTTAAAAAAAAACTACTAAGCGTAGCCTCAAAGTAAATATTTTGTTTTGACGTGCATTGATATAGGGTTGCATCAAATCTAAATTTACTGGCAAATATCATCTAGTTTTTTTTTAATTCAGCTTTGAACTTTTCCGAAAGGTTAAAAATGGACTGAACATTTAAGTTTACATGGCTATAAATTTTTTTTTAAAAGAGATAGCGATCTTCGGACTTTATCAAAACTTCTCTAGTCTATCCCCATTCAAACGGTATACTAATCTTGTTTAAATAATAACAACAACTTCAGAAATTCCCTAAATTAGTGCATTGACTCTATTCGGACTGATTTGCGAAATTTGTGTTTATAGCCCCTTTTTGTGTGAATAACACGTTAAATACCTACAGGTAAAAAATATTTATCTTATGCAATGTAAAAAACCTTTTCTCTATCGTTTTTCAATGTGGATTTCTTGAAATTAAAGACGAAAATAATTATTTTGATCGTTTATTAATTATTACAAATTTTGTTCAAAATGTCCGCCTCGGCAACGTATACACTCACGACATCTTCGACTGTTGTCGTATGCAGCCTCATTTCTCTTTTTATTACTATAAAGGCGTTTTCTATTCGTTGTTGTAGTTCTTCTAATGTTTGAACTTCCGTTACGTACACCAGTTCATTACCTCGTCCCCAGACGTAAAAATCTAACGGAGTTAGGTCTGGGGAACGTGCAGGCCACTGTATAGGGCCAGTCTAAATTAGAAGAAGATGTCGTTACTTAGTGTATACGTTGCCGAGGCGGACATTTTGAACAAAATTTGTAATAATTAATAAACGATCAAAATAATTATTTTCGTCTTTAATTTCAAGAAATCTACATTGAAAAACGATAGAGAAAAGGTTTTTTACATTGCATAAGATAAATATTTTTTACCTGTAGGTATTTAACGTGTTATTCACACAAAAAGGGGCTATAAACACAAATTTCGCAAATCAGTCCGAATAGAGTCAATGCACTAATTTAGGGAATTTGTGAAGTTGTTGTTATTATTTAAACAAGATTAGTATACCGTTTGAATGGGGATAGACTAGAGAAGTTTTGATAAAATCCGAAGATCGCTATCTCTTTTAAAAAAAATTTTATAGCCATGTAAACTTAAATGTTCTGTCCATTTTTAACTTTTCGGAAAAGTTCAAAGCTGAATTAAAAAAAAACTAGATGATATTTGCCAGTAAATTTAGATTTGATGCAACCCTATATCAATGCACGTCAAAACAAAATATTTACTTTGAGGCTACGCTTAGTAGTTTTTTTTTAAATCGAAATTAAATGATGCGATTTGGGTATTTTGGTGAAATTACTAAAAAACTTAATATAAAAGTAGCCGCCTGACATGGAACGTGTTATGGGGGCTGAAAATATAGGAAATGACCCATTCTATCCGCCAAATCATTTTGGCACACGATGCGCCAAACACCCTGTATAATGCGTATTTTATTTAGGTTAATATGTATGTGCTTCATTAGATTTATTTTAAAAACAACATTAATTACTCATTGTCTCGCTTCATCATTATCACCATTTCAGCCACAGGACGTAAGCGGAACATAAGCGTTTCCAGATTGGCCGGTTGGAAGCACTGCTTTCTGCTAACTTACTAGGTCGTCTGTCCACCTTGACATCTCACACTGCGCTTTTCAGTGCGTCATTTAGCCTACCAATATTGGTGTCATTTGAAAGCTCAAAAGAGGTCGTTATTGAAGAATGGACCAGTATCGCTCAAGAACAACAAAAATTGGTTAGGCCCATAAGGGAGCATATAGAAGCTGCCAATAAAGGCAATGGTCCCTTAAAACACTAATGGCGCAGTTACACTACTCGGAAAATTGATCAAAACTTAGTATAAACATGCACTTCAGTTAGCTTCGCCGTGGGTCGACCATACTTCCGTGTGGTGCTCACGCTTCGACTTGGTCAATTTCTCGCAGTGTAACTGCGCTAATATTTAAAGTTAGTTTGCGCAACTTTTTATTATTATTTCTTCATTTTCTTACCATGCCTCAGCAGCAGATCCATGGCGTCCAAGTGCGAGTGTTCGGTAGCAACGTGTAGCGGCGTCTGTCCATCTTTATTCTTCTCGTTCACTCTGGCACCTTTGCGGATTAGCATCTCCATGACCTGAAGTTTAAAAATACGTGTCAAATCACTACTTTTCAAGGCGAGAGTGAATAGGCACTTACAGGGCAGATATGTACCATCCTAGACTGCATCTCACTTAACACCAGGTGCGATTGCGGTCAAATACCTGCCTTGGCTAGCATAAAAAAAAAAAATAGAAATAGGCGGTAATAATAATAGTTCAAGGGGAGACAGGCAGCGAGCCAGGGAAACCTGGGAAGCAATTTTGTAAAAAAATGTCCATGCCTATCCCGGACACAACATATTGGAATTGACAACTTATAAATGAATTATTTATTTATTTATTCATTTAAGGGGACCTTTGGAGAGAGGTGGGGAGCGAGGTGCGCTAGAGGATGCCTTAAGGGGAGGCTAGAGCTCTCTCTGGAAGGTAAAACCTCTTTCAGGAGAGGTGGGGGGAGCTAGAGGATGCCTTTAAGGAGGATATAGGGGAGAAGGAAAAGCGTTTCTCAGGAGTTAGGAGAACTAGAGGAGGTCATTGGGGAGAAACGGAGGAGCTAGGGGATGCATTAAGGGGTGGTAGGGGAGAAAAGGAGACCTCTCTCAGGGGAGGCGCGGAAGCTAGGCGAGGCTTTCGGGGAAGGCGGGGGAGCGTAGGGAGACCGAATTAGGGGGAGTGAGAGGAGATATGGATGGATAGCCTTAGACCTCTCAGGGTTTGCGCGGGAGGTAGGGGTGGCCTAGGGGGAGACGGGGGAGCGAAGAGAGACCGAATTAGGAGGAGCGAGGGGAAACACACACCTGCTTCCTCTTAGGATACACGCTGGCGGCGGAGCAGTGTAGCGGCCGGTCTCCTGTTCCTAAGTGCGTGAAGTTGACCAGCGCCTCCACGCCGCATTCTGGGGGAGCTATGGGACACTTGGTGAGAGGTAGGGGACACTTGGTGGGAGCTAGGGAACAATTGGTGAGTGATACTGATAGGGAACAATTGGTGAGTGATAGGGGACACTTGGTGGGAGGGGACACTTGGTAGGAGCCAGGGGACACTTGGTAGGAGCTAGGGGACACTTAATCGGAGCTAGAGGACACTTGGCGGGGGCTAGGGGACACTTGGTGGGAGCTAGAGGACACTTGGTGGGAGCTGGGGGACACTTGGTGGGAGCTGGGGGACACTTGGTGGGAGCTGGGGGACACTTGGTGGGAGGAAGGGGAGCTAGGAGACACTTGGTGGGAGCTAGCGGACACTTTTAATGGGAGCTAGGCGAGCTGGAGGACACTAGGTGCGAGATAGGGGACACTTGGTGGGAGCTAGGGGGAGGTACAGGAGCTAAGGGACACCCACCTGCTTCCTCTTAGGATACACGCTGGCAGCAGAGCAGTGTAGCGGCCGGTCTCCCGTTCCTAAGTGCGTGAAGTTGACCAGCGCCTCCACGCCGCATTCGGGGAAGCTAGGGGACACTTGGTGGGAGCTAGAGGATACTTGGTGGGAGCTAGGAGACACTTGGTGAGAGCTAGAGGACACTTGGTGGGAGCTAGGCGAGCTATGAGACACTTGGTGGGAGCTAGACGAGCTAGGAGACATTTGGTGGGAGCTAGGCGAGCTAGGAGACATTTGGTTGGAGTTAGAGGAGCTAGGAGACACTTTGTGGGAGGTAGGGGTGCTAGGGGACACTTCACTTGGTAGGAGCTAGAGGCACTTTCGGTGGGAAGCAGAGAAGCTAGGAGACACTTTGCGGCAGGTCACCCACCTGCTTCCTCTTAGGATACACGCTGGCAGCAGAGCAGTGTAGCGGCCGGTCTCCCGTTCCTAAGTGCGTGAAGTTGACCAGCGCTTCTACGCCGCATTCTGGGGGAGCTAGGGGACACTTGGTGGGAGCTAGGGGACACTTGGTGGGAGCTAGGCACTTGGTGGGAGCTAGAGGGCACTTGGTGGGAGCTAGGGGACACTTGGTGGGAGCTGGGGGACACTTGGTGGGAGCTCGGGGTCACTTGGTGAGAGGTAGAGGAGCTAGGGGACACCTTGGTGAGAGGTAGGGGAGCTAGGGGACGCTTGGTGAGAGGAAGGGGAGCTAGGGGACACTTGGTGGGAACTAGGAGACAATTAGTGGGAGCGAGGGGACACTTTTGGTGGGTGGTGGGAGGTAGGGGACACTTGGTGGGAGCTAGGAGACACAGGGAGACACTTGGTGGGCGCTAGGGGACACTTAGCGGGAGCTGGGGGACACTTGGTGCTAAGGGACACCCACCTGCTTCCTCTTAGGATACACGCTGGCGGCGGAGCAGTGTAGCGGCCGGTCACCAGTTCCTAAGTGCGTGAAGTTGACCAGCGCCTCCACGCCGCATTCTGGGGGAGCTAGGGGACACTTGGTGAGAGGTAGGGGAGACTTGGTGGGAGCTAGGGAACAATTGGTGAGTGATACTGATAGGGAACAATTGGTTAGTGATAGGGGACACTTGGTGGGAGGGNCTAGGGAACAATTGGTGAGTGATACTGATAGGGAACAATTGGTTAGTGATAGGGGACACTTGGTGGGAGGGGACACTTGGTAGGAGCTAGGGGACACTTAGTCGGAGCTAGAGGACACTTGGCGGGGGCTAGGGGACACTTGGTGGGAGCTAGAGGACACTAGGTGCGAGATAGGGGACACTTGGTGGGAGCTAAGGGACACTTGGTGGGAGCTAGGGGACACTTGGTGGGATCTAGGGGACACTTGGTGGGAGCTAGGGGACACTTGGTGAGAGCTAGGAGACACTTTTGGTGGGAGGTAGTTGAGCTAAGAGACACTTCACTTTGTGGGAGGTAGGGGAGCTAGGGGACACTTCACTTTGTGGGAGCTAGAGGACACGGGGAGACACTTGGTGGGAGCTAGAGGCACTTTCGGTGGGAAGTAGAGAAGCTAGGGGACACTTTGCGGCAGGTAGGGGACACTTTTGGTGGGAGGCAGGGGACACTTGGTGGGAGCTAGAGAACACTTGGTGGGAGCTAAGGGACACCCACCTGCTTCCTCTTAGGATACACGCTGGCGGCGGAGCAGTGTAGCGGCCGGTCTCCCGTTCCTAAGTGCGTGAAGTTGACCAGCGCCTCCACGCCGCATTCCGTGGGAGCTAGGGGACACTTGGTGGGAGCTGGGGGACACTTGGTGGGGGCTAGGCGAGCTAGGGGACACTTGGTGGGAGCTAGCGGAGCTAGGGGACACTTGGTGGGAGCTAGGGGACACTTATTGGAAGGTAGGGGACACTTTTGGTGGGAGCTAGGCGAGCTAGGGGACACTTGGTGGGAGCTGGGGGACACTTGGTGGGAGCTAAGCGAGCTAGGGAACACTTTGTGGGAGCTAAGGGAGCTAGGGAACACTTGGTGGGAGCTAAGGGACACCCACCTGCTTCCTCTTAGGATACACGCTGGCGGCGGAGCAGTGTAGCGGCCGGTCTCCCGTTCCTAAGTGCGTGAAGTTGACCAGCGCCTCCACGTCGCATTCTGGGGGAGGTAGGTGAGGTAGGGGAGCTAAGGGACACTTGGTGGGAGCTAGGGGACACCTTTGGTGGGAGGTAGAGGAGTTAGGGGACACCTTTGGTGGGAGGTAGAGGAGTTAGGGGACACTTGGTGGGAGGTAGAGGAGCTAGGGGACACTTGGTGGGGGCTAGGGGACACTTTGGTGGGTTGGTGGGAGCTAGGAGACACTTTTGGTGGGAGCTAGGGGACACTTGGTGGGAGGAAGGGGAGCTAGGGGACACTTGGTGGGAGCTAGCGGACACTTTTAATGGGAGCTAGGCGAGCTGGAGGACACTAGGTGCGAGATAGGGGACACTTGGTGGGAGCTAGGGGGAGGTACAGGAGCTAAGGGACACCCACCTGCTTCCTCTTAGGATACACGCTGGCAGCAGAGCAGTGTAGCGGCCGGTCTCCCGTTCCTAAGTGCGTGAAGTTGACCAGCGCCTCCACGCCGCATTCCGGGGGAGGTGGGGGGAGGGAGTGCGTGCTGCCGCTCGTTGATGCTTGGGAAGACTGGGGAGAAACGGGTTTAATTAGATATTTCAGGTTTAAAGAACTTTATTCTCATAAGAAATGGCAATGCCAGATTTTGTATGGAAGGTGGCGTCTTTTTTTTTCGCGCGGCCATCGACCAAACTTTGTTTTTTGATTACAAAATAGTGTAATAAACCAAACTTACTATGCCATGTATACCTCTAAACTCAGTCTGAACTGAGTTACGAGCATTAGAAGTTTGATGATTTTCATACAAGATTTGCTTTTTGTGCGCAAGTTTTGTAAGAAATTGCAACAAAATATTGCGCTATTTTTTTATTGCGCTGATTCTGCTCCATACTGATGTCTGGAGCCTTTAATGGATGGTATTGATTGTTTACACATACAATCTCACTATTTTGTTGCAATTTCTTACAAAACTTTGCGCGCAAAAAGCAAATCTAGTATGAAAATCATCAAACTTCTAATGCTCGTAACTCAGTTCAGACTGAGTTTAGAGGTATACATGTCATAGTAAGTTTGGTTTATTACACTATTTTGTAATCAAAAAACAAAGTTTGGTCGATGGCCGCGCGAAAAAAAAAGACGCCAATTTCCAATCAAAAAACAAAGTTTGGTCGATGGCCGCGCGAAAAAAAAAAGACGCCAATTTCCGGCATTGTCTTTTACATTTCACTTATAATGAGATACTAAAATATTTAATAAATAAGTTACAAATTAGCCACTGGTACTAGTAGCTGCTAGCCTGCTATGTGTATCTTAAGTTTATTTCATTAGTCATTACTATAGGTCTAACGCTTAGGTCTAGAATGTGTTTCTTTAATTGGCTTATGTCAAGTTGTATCTTCCTGCACATTTATGTACAACTAGCTGACCCGGCGAACTTTGTTCCGCCTTAATGGCAATAAATAAGCAGACTTTTTTTATTTCGAACGGGATAAAAAGTATCCTATGTCCTTCTCCTGGCTCTAAACTACCTCCCTGACAATTTTCAGCTAAATCGGTTCAGCCGTTCTTGAGTTATAAGTGGAGTAACTAACACGACTTTCTTTTATATATATAGATTTAATGCTGTTGAAACATTGTTAAACAAGTAAAATAAATAAATTAACTGAGTCCGTGCCTGAGGCATAGGGCGGCATACGGCACGTATATCTGTCAAATTGCAATTTCAAACAATGACTAGCTTTGCTCGTGAGATAAGCTGTGCTGTAAATATTTTGACACCTTGTCTCGGTGAATTTTTTTTTTTTTTTTTTTTTCAACCTGGAGGTCATTCTATTCCCGCCTTAGGCAATTCGATTTTTTCAAGTTTTTTTTTTTTGCTGTTAACCGTCAATCATGTTAGAATAGAATAGAATAGAAAGTATTTATTTGTCTCAAAACAGGTTTCATTTACATGTTCATTCATGTTGACGTTATTAATCAGTTGCCTGGTTACGTTTTATCTGTGCTCATGCGCAAATGATAGCTCTTATGATGCTGTACGCTATTCAGCCTTGGAGGGTCACAAATTAAATGAGGGCTATCGTTTTAGCGCTCACCAGTTAGCGCCACTGTAGAGTAAGGTCCTGTCACTTGCTAGTGGCGAAGACACTGGCACCAACTGGTGAGCGCGAAAGTGGTAGGAGGACTATCGCATTTGCACTCATCAAGATGGCGCCACTGTAGAGTAAGGTCCTGTCAATCGCCAGGGGTGCCAATTGTTAAGTATAAAACCGGCCAAGTGCGTGTCGGACTCACGCACAAAGGGTTCCTTACCATTGATTTATGAATTTTTTTTTTAATTTAAGTTATTTGTATGAAAGATTGCGCGGTAATAAGCGGTTTACGATTTACGAGGTGTTTGCGCGCTTATGTTGGCAACAAAGAGTTCTCATGTTCTACTGTTGGTATACATGCGTGCATCTTCCCGACCATTCGCCAAAGTTCCTTGGCGTCTAACGCCATCTATTTCTCCGCGGCGTAAACTGTTGTGCCGCCTACCAAACATTTGAAAGAAAAAAGACAGTTGCCCGTTGCCTATACTCCATTTTTCACGTGCGCGTCCACGCCGCTACAAAAAACTTTTTTATTTTATCGTTTGGTGATTTTGTACGAAGTGCAGTGTTTTCCGCTGTTCGACCGACGCCCTCTGATATTGGATTGCCACGAGGAGTGCTGGAACTGGGATAGGGAGCCCGGTGTCGCTGTTACCAGGTCAGTGCATGAGTCTCACATAACCCCAATATATCGGGTAAACTCCTTCCTCGGCAACTCACACAGTTATTCTATTCCCGCATCGCATTTTTATTCAATTTCTCTTATAACAAATACGTAACAAACCCCTCGCATCACCACGAGGTATTAAAAAAAAACTACTTACTAGATCTCGTTCAAAACAATTTTCGTTGGTAGTTTTTATAGTAATGTACATCATATGTTTTTTTTTAGATTTTTCATTTTCTTATTTTAGAAGTTAGAGGGGGGGACCGACTTTTTTCCACTTTGGAAGCGTCTGTCACGCAAACTATTCGGTTTAGAAAAAAAGTATTTTAGAAACCTCGATATCATTTTTGAAGACCTATCCATAGATACCCCACACGTATGTGTTTGATGAAAAAAAAATTTTTGAGTTTCAGTTGTAAGTATGGGGAGCCCCCATTTTTTTTTTGCATCAAAATCTTAATGCGGTTCACAGAATACATATAAATACTTACCAAGTTTCAACAGTATAGCTCTTATAGTTTCGGAAAAAAATGGCTGTGACATACGGACGGACAGACGGACAGACAGACAGACATGTCGAATCTATAAGGGTTCCGTTTTTTGCCATTTGGCTACGGAACCCTAAAAACGATAGCCCTCATTACTTGACAGTACGAATAGTTACCTGGTGTTGGTGTTGCCCGCTAACGGAAGACAGCTGTTTCTTGACCCGGGTGGGCTCCGCGAGTCGGCATGCCTCTAGCAAGCAGTGACCGCGATACTCGACTGTGAGAGAAAGTTCACGAATGATTCTTCTAATGCGAAGTAAAAAATACACATATTTATAATTATCGAAGCAAAGTTTGTTTCCAAACTGGCCGGTTGACCTAGATCCAGCGCCTTCCATCAACCTTTATGATGTCATTTCTCCACTTGGTGGGACCATACTTGTCAGTTTATTATTATTATTTATTGTATCTCTCGCAGTGAAACTCATAAAAACTCATTTATTTCTGCAAATAGGCTTTAAAAAATCACTTTTACACGTCCCAGTATTAACCCTACCACTGCTTCAGGACAATAAATGGGCCAGTGAAGATTGCGACAAGAAAAAAATACTCCACTCACAGGCTAGTCTCTCCTGAAGTTCCCTTGTAGGCGCCACGTCGAGTGCCGACTTGCCGTGGCAATTCAGAAGAGTAGGATCCGCGCCTTCGCTCAATAGTAGGGAACAAACCTGGAATAAATTACATATTATCATTATTATTACACTTTATTTCGTTTACAAATCTCCACGCGATATGGAAATAATTCATCAATTCCATTCAAAATTCAATCATTCATTCATACTCACGTCCGAAATACCGCAGTGTCTCAAGTCGAAAGTATTTGACCAATGCGTGTTGCCAGTGATGGTATACGGATCTGAGACATGGTCGCTTACTATGGGCCTCATAAGAAGGCTCAAGGTCACCCAAAGGGCGATGGAGCGGGCTATGCTCGGAGTTACCCTGCGTGATCGAAACAGAAATGAGGAGATCCGCAGGAGAACCAAAGTAACCGACATAGCTCGCAGAATTGCTAAAATCAAGTGGCAGTGGGCGGGGCACATAGCTCGCAGAGACGATGGCCGTTGGGGCAGGAAAGTTCTCGAGTGGCGACCACGGGCTGGAAGACGTAGCGTGGGCAGGCCTCCTACTAGGTGGACCAACGATCTGGTAAAGGTCGCGGGAAGAGCCTGGATGCGGGCAGCGCAGGACCGTTCATTGTGGAAAACCTTGGGGGAGGCCTATGTTCAGCAGTGGCTGAAATGATGAGTAAAAAAGAATTGGAATATAAACAAACATACCTCCAATCTAGCTTTGCTAGCGGCCCCATGAAGCGGCTTGAAAGCCCACAGGTCGGTAGCGTTGACGTCTGCGCCCGCTCGGACTAATAACTCCGTCACTTCGTAGTGGCCGTAGGAACATGCTTCCATAGCTGAACATAGGCCTCCCCCAATGATTTCCAGATTGGCCGATTGGTAGCGGCCTGCAGCGCTTTCCTGCTACCTTGAAGCGGTCTTCTGTCCATTATGTGGGTGGACGTCCCACGCTGCGCTTACCGTGGGCTCCACTCCAGAACCGTCAATTCTGCGTGCTATGTGCCCTGCCCATTGCCACTTCAGCTTGCTATCCGTAGGGCTATGTCAGCGACTTAAGTACATTTACGGATCTCCGATTCGATCTCGTGAAGAAACACCGAGCATAGTCTCCATAGCACATTGTGCGATTTTGAGCTTATTTATAAGGCATATAGTGAGAAGCCACGTTACTGAGCCGTATATCATCACTGTTAGCATACACTGGTTGCAGACTTTCGTCTTTAAGACACTGAGATATTTTTTTGACGAAAAGATATTGTGTACTTTGTCGAACGCTGACGTTCATTAAAGAACTAGCGGCCGTCCGCGACTTCGCACGTGTGGACACCAAGCAAAATTTGAGACTCCTAGCGCTTGTAGTTTCTGAGATTTCGTGATGAGTGAGTGAGTCAGTCAATCAGTGACCTTTCGCTTTTATGTAGATTTCAATATAAACAATAAACATACCTCCAATCTAGCTTTGCTAGCGGCTTCATGAAGCGGCGTGAAGGCCCACAGGTCGGTAGCGTTGACGTCTGCGCCCGCTCGGACTAATAACTCCGTCACCTCGTAGTGGCCGTAGGAACATGCTTCCATAGCTGAACATAGGCCTCCCCCAATGATTTCCAGATTGGCCGATTGGCAGTGACCTGCATCCAGCGCTTTCCTGCTACCTTGAAGCGGTCTTCTGTCCATTATGTGGGTGGACGTCCCACGCTGCGCTTACCGTGGGCTCCACTCCAGAACCTTGTTGCCCCATCGGCCGTCAGCTCTGCGTGCTATGTGCCCTGCCCATTGCCACTTCAGCTTGCTATCCGTAGGGCTATGTCAGCGACTTAAGTTCACGGATCTCCGATTCGATCTCGTAAAGAAACACCGAGCCCTCTCCATAGCACATTGTGCGATTTTGAGCTTATTTATAAGGCATATAGTGAGAGGCCACGTTACTGAGCCGTATATCATCACTGTTAGCATATACTGGTTGCAGACTTTCGTCTTTAGACACTGAGGTATTTTTTGGACGAAAAGATATTGTGTACTTTGTCGAACGCTGACGTTTATTAAAGAACTAGCGGCCGTCCGCGACTTCGCACGCGTGGATCCTTTTTTACCCCCTTTGGGGTTGAATTTTGCAAAATCCCGTCTTAGTGAGCACCTACGTTCTAAAAGGAACCCCAAGCAAAATTTGAGACTCCTAACACTTGTAGTTTCTGAGATTTCGTGATGAGTGAGTGAGTCATTCAATCAGTGACCTTTCGCTTTTATGTAGATTTCAATATAAACAATAAACATACCTCCAATCTAGCTTTGCTAGCGGCTTCATGAAGCGGCGTGAAGGCCCATAGGTCGGTAGCGTTGACGTCTGCGCCCGCCCGGACTAACAGCTCCGTCACCTCGTAGTGGCCGTAGGAACATGCATTGTGGAGTGGGACTAGGCCGCTGGAATTAGAAAAGTTATGTTAATTTATCAGTCGGATTGTATTTTTGCAGTGGGATATGAGGTCAAAGATTTGACAGTCTATCAAGAGATAGGCGAGCATTTACTCAGGAGTTGGTTGAAGAATCCCGTGCATGTCTTTAAAAACACTAGGGTCACTAGGGTTACTCTTTCCAGGAGCTGGCTACTTCCAGAAAACCTGATTAATTGTTTGGTTTTACCATAGAAGTACCAGGCACCCATAGGATGCAAGGAGTATCCTAAAAGACACTAGGCACCCCATTTTCAGCAGCAGACTTCTCCTAGATTAACCTGGAACAGTCTTCTCTTCATCAATTCTTCCACAGAAGTACCAGGCGCCCATACCTTCTAAGGAGTATCCTAAAAGACACTAAGGATACTCATTCCAGCAGCAGACGTCTCCTAGAGTGACCTGGAAACCCTCTTTTTCTTCCTGCATCACCCATTGAAGTACCAGGCGCCCATACCTTCTAAGGAGTAGCTAAAAGATGGGGATCCCATTTCTAGCAGCAGACGTCTTTCAAAGTGACCTGGAGCCCTCTCTTTCTTCCTGCATCCCCCACAGAAGTACCAGGCGCCTATAGCATGCAAGGAGCATCCTGAAAGACACTAGGAGTGCTATTTCCACCATCAGAGTGACCTGGAACCGCCTTCTCCTCTCCTCAGCTTGCCTGTCAAAGTACCAGGCGCCCATATCCTATAAGGAGCATCCCTCACCCCTTATCCTTGGCGTGCACGTCAGCACCGCGGGCCAGTAACAAACGCACAGCACGCGCGCGATTGTAACCGGCCGCCAGGTGAAGCGGTGTGGATCGGCGTCCGTCGTGTGCGTGACGTCACTTGAGGGGCGAGGGGGGGGGACTGACGAGGGCAGGCACTGGAGGCAGGCTGGGTCTAGACTGGAGTGTAGCAACGTCACCAAGACCTAGCTAGAGTGAGGAATTTCTGACCTGAAGCTTGGCGAGATGGACTAAGAAGTACCAGGCGAGCATAGTTACTAAGGAGTAGGTTGAAGAACTCCAAGCGTGCCTTTAAAGACACTAGGGGTGCTCTTTCTAGCAGCTGGCGACTTCCAGAACACCTGATGAATCTACTAATTTTACCATTGAAGTACCAGGCACCTATAGGATACGAAGGAGCGTCTCTAAAGACACTAGGATTATTCTTTCCAGCAGCTGGCGTCTGACATAGGACCTATCAATATGCTGCTTTGACAATTGAAGTACCAGGCACCTATAGATTGCGAGGAGCATCCTAAGACACTAGGCATCCCATTTCCAGCAGCAGACGTCTCCTAGATTGACCTGGAACCGTCTTCTCTTCATCAATTCTTCCACAGAAGTACCAGGCGCCCATACCTTTTATGGAGCATCTTTAAAGACACTAGGGATCCCATTCCCACCATCAGAGTGACCTGGAACCGTCTTCTTCTCTCTTCAGCTTGCCTATAGAAGTACCAGGCACCCATAGGATGCAAGGAGCATCTATAAAGACACTTAAGAATTTCATTTCCAGCAGCTGACGTCTTCCAGAGTGACCTAGAAACGCCCATCTTCTTCCCACTTCGTCCACCAAAGTACCAGGCGCCCATACTCTGCAAGGAGCCTCACCCCTTATCCTTGGCGTGCACGTCGGCACCGCGCGCCAGCAACAAACGCACAGCACGCGCGCGATTGTAACCGGCCGCCAAGTGCAGCGGCGTGGAGCGGCGCCCGTCGTGCGCGTGACGTCACTTGAGGGGCGAGGGGGAGGGGCTGACGAGGGCAGGCACTGGAGGCAGGCTGGGTCTAGACTGGAGTGTAGCCACGTCACCAAAATCTAGCTAGAGTGAGGAATTTCTGACCTAAAGCTTGGCGAGATGGACTAAGAAGTACCAGGCGAGCATAGTTACTAAGGAGTTGGCTGAAAAATCCCGTGAGTGCCTTTAAAGACACTAGGGGTGTTATTTCCAGCAGCTGGAGACTTCCAGAAGACCGGATGAATCTTATGGTTTTACCATTGAAGTACCAGGCGCCCATAGGATGCAAGGAGCGTCTCTAAATGCCGTAAGTGCCTTTAAAGACACTATGGTTACCCTTTCCAGCAGCTGGCGTCTGACAGAAGACCTATCAATATGCTGCTTTGACAATTGAAGTACCAGGCACCTATAGATTGCGAGGAACATCCTAAAAGACACTAGGGATAATCTTTCCAGCAGCTGATGTCTCCTAGAGTGACCTCGAAACCCTCTTTTTCTTCCTGCATCCTCCCACAGAAGTACCAGGCGCCCATACCCTGAAAGGAGCATCTCAGAAGCCACCAGCCATGCTCACCCTTTATCCTTGGCGTGCACGTCAGCACCGCGGGCCAGTAACAAGCGCACAGCACGCGCGCGATTGTAACCGGCCGCCAAGTGCAGAGGCGTGGAGCGGCGCCCGTCGTGCGCGTGACGTCACTTGAGGGGCGAGGGGGAGGGGCTGGCGAGGGCAGGCACTGGAGGCAGGCTGGGTCTAGACTGGAGTATGGCAACGTCACCAAAATCTAGCTAGAGTGAGGAATTTCTGACCTAAAGCTTAGACTAGAAGTACCAGGCGAGCATAGTTACTAAGGACGTGGCAGAAGAATCCCGTGCGTGCTTTTAAAGACACTAGGGTTACTCTTTCCAGCAACTGGCGACTTCCAGAAGACCTGATGAATCTTATGGTTTCACCATAGAAGTACCAGGCACCCATAGGATGCAAGGAATATTTTTATAGACACTAGGGATACTCTTTCCAGCAGTAGACCTCAAGCAGAGTGACCTGGAACAGCCTTCTTTTCGTCAATTTTCTCACAGAAGTACCAGGCGCCTATGGTCTATAAGGAGCATCTTCAAGACACCTGGAGCCCTCTTTTTCTTCCTGCTTTGGCCACAGAAGTACCAGGCGCCCATAGCATACAAGGAGCATACTAAAAGACACTAGGAGGCACCTGGAACCTTCTTCTATTCATCAATTCTTCCACAGAAGAACCAGGCGCCCATACCTTTTAAGGAGCATCTTCAAAGACACTAGGGATTCCATTTCCACCATCAGAGTGACCTGGAACCGCCTTCTCCTGTCCTCAGTTCGCCTATGGAAGTACCAGGCTTGCATACTCTGCAAGGAGCGCTCACCCCTTATCCTTGGCGTGCACGTCGGCACCGCGTGCCAGCAGCAAACGCACAGCACGCGCGCGACTATAACCGGTCGCCAGGTGCAGAGGTGTGGATCGGCGTCCGTCGAGCCCGTGACGTCACTTGAGGGGCGAGGGGGAGGGGCTGGCGAGGGGGAGGGGCTGGCGAGGGCAGGCACTGGAGGCAGGCTGGGTCTAGACTGGAGTGTAGCAACGTCACCAAAATCTAGCTAGAGTGAGGAATTTCTGACCTTAAAGCTTGGCGAGATGGACTAAGAAGTACCAGGCGAGCATAGTTTCTAAGGAGTTGGTTAGAGAATCCCGTGCGAGCCTTTAAAGACACTAGGGGTGCTATTTCCAGCAGATGGCTACTAGCACAATGACCTGCAACTGTCTACGGTTTGGTGGTTCGACTACTGAAGTACCAGGCGTTCATAGGATGCAAGGAGTCTCTCTAAAGACACTAGGGTTCCTACTTCCAGTAGCAGACGTCTTCCAGAGTGACCTGGAAACCCTATTTTTCTTCCTGCTTTGGCCACAAAAATACCAGGCGCCCATACCTTATAAGGAGTAGCTAAAAGACACTAGGGAACCTGTTTCCAGCAGCAAACGTCTCCCAGTGACCTAGAACCGCCTTCTCCTCTCCTCAGTCTTCCCACCAAAGTACCAGGCGCCCATATCCTATAAGGAGCATCCCTCACCCCTTTATCCTTGGCGTGCACGTCGGCACCGCGGGCCAGTAACAGACGCACAGCACGCGCGCGATTGTAACCGGCCGCCAGGTGCAGAGGCGTGGATCGGCGTCCGTCATGTGCGTGCACGTTCACATTGAGCGGAGTCAGGAGCGACGCGAGGCAGGCTGGGTCTAGACTGGAGTGTAGCTAGAGTGAGGAATTTCTGGCCTAAAGCTTGGCGAGAAGTACCAGGCGAGCATAGTTAGTAAGGAGTTGGTTGAAGAATCCCGTGCGTGCATTTAAAGACACTACGTGACTAGGGGTACCCTTTCCAGCAGCTGGCGAATTGATGAATCTTATGGTTATACCATTGAAGTACCAGGCACCTATAGATTGCAAGGAGCATTCAAAAAGACACTAGGCACCCCATTTCCAGCAGCAGACGTCTCCTAGTGACCTGGAAACCCTCTTTTTCTTTCTGCTTTGGCTACTGAAGTACCAGGCGCCCACAGCATGAAAGAAGCATCCTAAAAGACACTAGGGATACTTTTCCAGCAGCAGACGTCTTCCTGAGTGACCTAGAGCCCTTTATTTCTTCCTGCATCACCCACATAAGTACCAGGCGCCCATAAAATACAAGGGGTATCCAAAAAGACACTAGGGATACTCTTTCCAGCAGCTGACGTCACCTAGAGTGACCTGGATACCCTCTTTTTCTTCCTGCATCACCCATTGAAGTACCAGGCGCCCATACCCTGAAAGGAGCATCTCAGAAGCCACCAGCCATGCTCACCCCTTATCCTTGGCGTGCACGTCGGCACCGCGTGCCAGCAGCAAACGCACAGCACGCGCGCGATTATAACCGGTCGCCAGGTGCAGAGGTGTGGATCGGCGTCCGTCGAGCCCGTGACGTCACTTGTGGGGCGAGGGGGAGGGGCTGGCGAGGGCATGCACTGGAGGCAGGCTGGGTCTAGACTGGAGTGTGGCAACGTCACCAAAATCTAGCTAGAGTGAGGAATTTCTGACCTAAAGCTTGGCGAGATGGACTAAGAAGTACCAGGCGAGCATAGTTACTAAGGAGTTGGTTGAAGAATCCCGTGCGTGCCTTTAAAGACACTAGGGGTGCTATTTCCAGCAGCTGGCGACATCCAGAAGACCTGATGAATCTTATGGTTTCACCATAGAAGTACCAGGCACCCATAGGAACGAAGGAGCGTCTCTAAAGACACTAGGGTTACTCTTTCCAGCAGCTGGCGTCTGACAGAAGACCTATCAATATGCTGGTTTGACCACTGAAGTACCAGGCACCTATAGATTGCGAGGAGCATCCTAAAAGACACTAGGCACCCCATTTCCAGCAGCAGACGTCTCCTAGATTGACCTGGAACAGTCTTCTCTTCATCAATTCTTCCACAGAAGTACCAGGCGCCCGTACATTCTAAGGAGTACCTTATAAGACACTTGGGATACTCTTTCCAGCAGCTGACGTCTCCTAGTGACCTGGAAACTCTTTTTCTTTCTGATTTTGCTACTGAAGTACCAGGCGCCCATAGCATACAAGGAGTATCCTAAAAGACACTGGACTGCTCTTGGGAGCATCTTGAAGACACTAGGGATGCTCTTTCCAGCAGCAGACGTCTTCCAGAGTGACCTGGAGCCCTCTATTTCTTCCTGCATCCTCCCACAGAAGTACCAGGCACCCATATTCTATAAGGAGCGCTCACCCCTTATCCTTAGCGTGCACGTCGGCACCGCGGGCCAGCAACAAACGCACAGCACGCGCGCGATTGTAACCGGCCGCCAGGTGAAGCGGTGTGGATCGGCGTCCGTCGTGTGCGTGACGTCACTTGAGGGGCGAGGAGGGAGGGGCTGACGAGGACAGGCACTGGAGGCAGGCTGGGTCTAGGCTGGAGTGTGGCAACGTCACCAAAATCTAGCTAGAGTGAGGAATTTCTGACCTAAAGCTTAGACTAGAAGTACCAGGCGAGCATAGTTACTAAGAAGTTGGTTGAAGAATCCCGTGCGTGCCTTTAAAGACACTAGGGTTACTCTTTCCAGCAGCTGGCGACTTCCAGAGGACCTGATGAATCTTATGGTTTCAGCATAGAAGTACCAGGCACCCATAGGAACGAAGGAGCGTCTCTAAAGACACTAGGGTTACTCTTTCCAGCAGCTGGCGTCTGACAGAAGACCTATCAATATGCTGATTTCTCTATTGAAGTACCAGGCGCCCATGCCTTCTATGGAACATCTTTAGAGACACTAGGGATCCCATTACCAGTAGCAATCGTCTCCCAGAGTGACCTGGAACAATCTTCTCTTCGTCAATTCTCCCACAGAAGTACCAGGCGACCATGGTCTCTAAGAAGCATTCTAAAAGACACGGCTGCTCTTGGGAGCATCTTGAAGACACCAGCTGCTCTTGGGAGCATCTTGAAGACACTAGGGATGCTCTTTCCAGCAGCAGACGTCTCCCAGAGTGACCTGGAGCCCTCTATTTCTTCCTGCATCCTCCCACAGAAGTACCAGGCGCCCATATCCTATAAGGAGCCTTACCCCTTATCCTTGGCGTGCACGTCGGCACCGCGTGCCAGCAGCAAACGCACAGCACGCGCTCGGTTGTATCCGGCCGCCAGGTGCAGAGGTGTGGATCGGCGTCCGTCGTGTGCGTGGACGTTCACATTGAGCGGAGTTAGGAGCGATGCTAGGCGATCGTCGGCGCCTGAACGAGCGGCTTCTAGGACGTCGGCGGCGCAGTATTCGCCTGGGGAAAAGATGTCAAATGACATGACAAAATGAAGGGGACCAGACCATAATAATGACATTAATTACGTTATTGATTTAATTTCTACTGACAGTGTGGTAGTTGCAGAGACGTAGCTTCGTTACCGAAAGAAGGAATATTGATTGATGTCATTAGTTGTGTCTGGAGGAGGCCTTGTGATCACATGACAAGGCACAAACATGCTAATGATTACTGCTAATTATGCTAATTACTCCATTACTATGCAATAATGTGGTTACCTGTGAGCACAGGCCTGGTAGCCGAGTCTGCAAGGTCTAACGGAGTCTTCCCTTCTGTGTTCCTGATGTTTGGGTCGGCGCCATGCTGCAGCAGTGCTGGAATAAAGAAATAGATCTTTTAATTGCTTTATTTCATTCATTATATCCAAAAGCATGAAGAATAACCATAATTTGATATGTTGTAAATGTTTTTCATTCAATAAAATCATTTTGGTTCTTTTATGGATCTCTTAATTTCTGATTCGATCATGTGGAATCTATTTTATCTATTTAGATATAATTTAAATCGTCGATCCAAGTAATACGAGGCGCCTATAATTACAGAGGAGTAGCTGACATTACCTTATATCCTACTTCCAGCAGCTTTATACTATTTCCAGCAGAAGGCTACTGCTAGAGTAAACTAGAACATTCTTCATCTTGGTGGTTTGACGATTGAAGTACCAGGCGCCTATACCTTGTAAGGAGTAGCTTAGATGACCCTAGGATCCTGTTTCCACCAGCTAGCGCCCGATAGTAGACCTGATCATCTCACACATTGCCTATAGAAGTACCAGACGCCCATAGCTCGTACAGAGCTACCACTGATCCTTGGTACATACTTACATTACATACATACTTATCAACGGCAGAAGTACCAGGAGAACATATCCTGATAGGAGCTCTTTCGAGACACTATAGATACTACACTCGCGAGCAAAAGTATGGAATCACTTACATGAAGTTGTTTCCACGCGATCTTGTGTACTAACGAATTTGTTAGGAACAAAAAAAGTGGCACCATTTTAAAGATTAAACTTTTATCTTTAAATTGATACCAAATTCATTTAAATCACACCAGTATTTAAAAAGATATCCCGGCTGATGTGAAGAAGTAACGAAAAAGAGATGTATGAACTGTTTGATACGTCGCGAGTTGCGGCCTATTTACCCCCTATAAAAGCACGCGTTGTCGGATTTTTGCTTTCACACGTTGATTCATACACATCTCCGCTTATTTTGACATTTTACCTGGGATTCTACACCTTCAGAAGCAGCACAAATCGTTGCACTATTGCAAGAAGGGCTCAGCCAGCGGGCTGTCGCACGTCAGCGCCACATAAGCCAGTCCTGGGTTTCGAAAGTTTTAAGACGCTTTCGGGAGACTGGTGGCTTTATCCCGAGACCAAGTTCTGAACAGCGCCGGCGCACATCGCAGAGGGAAGACCGTTTTTTCATGTCAACCTCTCTATGAAATCGTCATTTGACTGGAATCGACGTCCAGTAAGAGCTCAGAAATGTTCGTAGGATAGCTGTTAGCGAGTAGACAGTTTGTCTAAGACATAAGCAATAGAATTTAACTCCAAAAAGGCCTGCCACAGGCTCGAAACTGACGGCAGGTCACCGATAAGCACGCTTTCAATTTGCTCGTACACATCTCGATGTTAAGTCGAGCAAGCCACCCCCATAAGCCACTGTTTCAGCGAACCAGCACTGCACAAATCGCTCCTCAGGCCGCCTATAAACCCGACCTCTTCGACTGCTGCCCTGCAAACACAGTTTGCATTCATCGGAGAACAGAACTCGCCTCCATTACTCGCCTTCCCATCGAGATGTGTACGAGCAAATTGAAAGGGTGCTTATCGGTGACCTGCCGTCAGTTTCGAGCCTGTGGCAGGCCTTTTTGGAGTCAAATTCTATTGCTTATATCTTAGACGAACTGTCCACTCGCTAACAGCTATCTTACGAACATTTCTGAGCTCTTGATGGACATCGATTCCAGTCAAATGACGATTTCATAGAGAGGTTGACATGAAAAAACGGTCTTCCCTCTGCGATGTGCACCGGCGCTGTTCAGAACTTGGTCTCGGGATAAAGCCACTAGTCTCCCGAAAGCGTCTTGAAACTTTCGAAACCCAGGACTGGCTTATGTGGCGCTGACGTGCGACAGCCCGCTGGCTGAGCCTTTCTTGCAATAGTCAACGATTTGTGCTGCTTCTGAAGGTGTAGAATCCCAGGTAAAGTGTCAAAAGAAGCGGAGATGTGTATGAATCAACGTGTGAAAGTAAAAATCTAAAAACGCGTGCATTTATAGGGGGTAAATAGGCCGCAACTCGTGACGTATCAAACAGTTCATACATGTCTTTTTCGTTACTTCTTCACATCAGCCGGGATATCTTTTTAAATACTGGTGTGATTTAAATGAATTTGGTATCAATTTAAAGATAAAAGTTTAATCTTTAAAATGGTGCCACTTTTTTTGTTACTAACAAATTCGTTAGTACACAAGTTCGCGTGGAAACAACTTCATGTAAGTGATTCCATAGTTTTGCTCGCGAGTGTATTTCCAGCAGTAGGCCACTGCTAGAGTGACCTAGAACATTCTTCACCTTGTGACCATTGAAGTACCAGGCGCCCATATAGTTCCAAAATACTGAACTGTCCTACCCCTGACATTGACAGTGGGGCGCCACCGTCAATACCGGATCGCTGGTTCCGATTTTTGCCATGTCGGAAACCATATAGTTGAACGATGGTAGCGCCCCCCTGTCATTGAGTTTGGTGGGACAGTTCAGCGTGGGTCATCTATACCCTGTAAGGAGTAGCTAATATGACCCTAGGATCATATTTCCACCAGCTATCGTCCGATAGTAGACTGATCATCTCACAGATCGCCTATAGAAGTACCAGGCGTCCATACCTTGTAAGGAGTAGCTAAGATGACCCTAGGATCCTGTTTCTACCAGTTAGCGACCTATAGTAGACCTGACCAATCTCATTGATCGCCTATAGAAGTACCAGGCGCCCATAACTCCCGTGGAACTATCACTTACCAATACAGACGTCGACCTTTCCCTTAGCAGCGGCCTCATGCAGCGGCGTGTACCCCCAGTTGTCCCTCGCCGCCGGCGCCGCTCCGGCTGACAGCAAGGCACGGACGACGTCGGCGTGGCCGAAGCTGCAAGCGTTGTGTAACGGCTGCAAGCCGCCGTCGTCTCTCGCTTGGAGTGCTGCGCCTGCTGCTATGAGGATCTCTACGACTTCTCTGCGACCGTATCCTGGAAAAAATGTTTTGAAAGCCATTAGTGTGAAGTAATTGATGTGATCATTTCACAAGCATCTCTTCAAGGCAAGAGTGTATAGGCCTAGACTACATCTACTCTCAACATCACATGTATTGATGCATACAGGTGTCCCAAAATTAGCACGTCACACTGACACCAGAGGCAAATGTCTATAAGTCCATTGTTTAAAATAACTAATATCAGTCATATTTCAAAACTCCTAAAACTTTTCTATGACATTAATAACTAAAATTGCACTGATGCAGGCAACTACAGGCCCATATCTGTATTGCCTGTTATATCTAAAGTGTTTGAGAAGGTTATTTACACACAACTGGAACGATACCTGAATTCCATTAATTTTCTCTTTAGTAAGCAATACGGTTTTCGTCCAAAATCCAATACCCTGTCCGCATGTATAGATCTTACAACTAGAATTAAAACGGAAATCGACCACAAAAAGATTGCCCTTGGTATATTCATCGATCTTAAGAAGGCGTTCGATACGATAAGTCACAAATTACTATTACAAAAATTGGAATCGATCGGCGTTAAGGGAATGGTACATAAAATGCTCCAGTCCTATCTCACAAATAGATACCAGATTGTTAGGATCGATAATATGCAGAGTTCAGCAGAATCAATCATATATGGTGTTCCGCAGGGATCTATTCTGGGGCCACTATTGTTCCTTATTTATGTAAACGGTATTGGCGATCTGGGTCTATGCGGTGATGTTTCTCTGTATGCCGATGACACTTGTTTGTTTTACTTTGGAGATGATATTGTTTCTACGGCGCAAGCAGCACAAAAAGACTTAGACGCTTTGTTTGGTTGGTTTCAGTGTAACTTATTAACTCTAAATATAGCCAAGACCAATTACATAATATTTAGCGCCAAAAATAAGCAAATCTCCCATTTTGATCCGTTAACCATCAACAACGAACCATTAAACCAAGTAAAATCTGAGAAATATCTGGGTCTTACGCTTGACAACCGCCTCACCTGGAAACCTCACATCGAAAAAACTCGTTCTAAATTAACATCCCTTATGTCTATTCTCCGTGGCAACGTTCGCTGCTTCCCCATGTCTGTTCGGTACACTATATACAACTCCTTAGTGAAACCCCACCTGGATTATTTGATCGAAGTTTACGGTAGCGCTCCCAAAACGAACTTGAAAAAACTACAAACATCGCAAAACAAAATTATAAAACTACTGTTCCAATTTCCCTACTTAACACCAACAACAGAAGTCTATAGGAAAACCGGCTTAATGTCAATAGCTCAAATGTATAAATTTAATACATGTTTACTTGTACACAAAATATTAAGAAAAACTATTCACACACAACTATCATTTATAACAAAATCACAATCACAAAAGCGTTCCTTAAGAAGACCTTACGATATTCAATTACCGTCACCCAGAACCAATTATGGCAAGAAAAATATAATGTACGAGGGGGCACAACTATTTAACGGGCTGCCAAATGATATAAAAAATACGCAATCTTTTTTCTCGTTTAAAAAGAAATTAAAGCACTACATTACAAAACACTTTTTAGAATTCTCGTGAAAAAAAAAAAAAAAAAAAATCAATCTGGTTCATTGTACGAGCACATTCATTCATTCACATTCTCGCGTTTTTATTACTTGTAATGTAGGAAAAAAAAAAAAAACCGGTCACATAGCAACTGTTGAGCGTTACGTAATGGAAGCCAAGCAGGTTGCTGGTTTTGTAGTTGCAGTGTGGGTAGGTTAAGAATAAAACTACACTTGAATTTGAAAAAATATAGCATTTGAGCGGTTTGTTATTATTTTATTTTAACTTCATTATTTTCTGTACCTAGTTTCATTTAATACATAAATGAAACGAGCTTGTCTGTTGCGTGCACTTGCTGCTTATTTATTATAAAGTGTATTCTGTATTTTTCTTATAAGTGAATATAATTGTATTCTTTTAGAAAAATAAATATCTAAAACCATAAACCATAAAATTGGTTATATCTAAATACTTTTCTATGGATATTTAGGTTTTTTTATGTCTTCAGTGTCAGTGTGAATACTAATTTTGGAACATCCTGTATGTCACCGTTAAATTGTGAATACTTTTAGTTTATTAACTCATACATTTTATTAACACTGATGGAGTGAATTGTAGTAATAATGTAGAGCTAGTAAGGTCACGGATTCATAAACTAGTGCCTGACAGACAGCAAAACTAGTGCCTGACAGACAGCAAAACTAATGCCTGTTTTCACCATCAATCCCTATTTTTTAAGTGATCCCTATAGTAACTCATAATATAGGAATTTTGTTTTCAAAGAGGGTCACTTAAAAATTAGGGATTGATGGTGAAAACGGGCATAAATCTAACAATAACAATGTTTACAGACACCTGAGATTTATTTATTGGGCTATCAACATGATACAGTATTAAACGCAACAATAAAAATTAAGCCAAAGGCCTCTCTCTAGCGAACTGCTCCCACACAAACAATAACCACAGCATGCATATTATTATAATGTAAGCAAACCGCGAATTTTACATTATACAATATTTACATCTTTAAAGATTACATACTGAGGCAAAAAATAACTCCTGTTTTGCCCTTGTATAGTTAATTGTTTATAACTTAATCTAATTGATAGGATTTATGTATTAATACTGAGAAATGATAAAACAAAGCCCATCCGTACTTATCTATACTCATCATTAACAACAAAATAAACTGTCTATGTAATGAGCAAGTATTAAACAAAAACCAATTAAAATTCAACAATCAAGTACACAATTATTACAAAGCCACTTCACCGCGAACAAAAACAGATAAAGCACGAACTAACAAACCTACACCGTAGCCAATTATGCAATAGCCAAAATTTATAACTTCCTGGCTCAAAACACACCTTTCACTTGCAAATTTTTATTCTTATTCTAATGAGTTGAGGGTCGAAACTTAGGCACGCACCTGCAGCGAAGTGTAGAGGAGTAGATTTCCTGCCAGCAGTGTCTCTAGCATTCACGGTTTGAGGAGTTACAAGCTTCTTCACACGAGGTGCGTCCCCAGTTTTGCAAGCTTCGAACAACTCTCGGAGAGGATCCGACGGCGCAGGCAGCGCGTCCAGAGCTGAACCGAGTATCGAACGGCGGCTCGACATCTTTGAATCGCGTTTCACATTTAATTGGATTGTTTATTGTGACCTAAAATGCCATTTTCGATAAATTATTGTATGAAAACACACGTATATGCACAGCTGCTTTCGGATTTTTGACAGATACGGTGTTGCCGACTCAGAATTATTTCTCCCTAATATTATTACCCCGTGGTGTATGGGGCCCGTGTAGGGTTATTAATTATTCTTTTTTATTTATCCTACATTGAGATCCAGGGACGACGAGTAGCAAACCTCTTAATTAGCAACCATTTCAATGTTACTGAGCCCTAAGCTATAAATGGGCTCGGCTATGACCATCAAAACTCCACGCACGAACGACCGAATGCGTGCCATATAACTAAAAAAAACAATAATACCAACAGTTTAAAAGTTCTGAAATGTAATAAATGTGACATACATACAATAAACAATTTCAATTTGAATGTTGAACCTCAACTGATCAATACAGTCTTTTATGACACACTACGCTACACCCTAACTTATCCCCCAGCACTGTTGAAATCACAAAATCTTAATTAATTTGTATAATATTATTAGACGTGATGGTTTTACACTTTTTTCCTCCATGACAAAACCAATCAGTACCTTTATTCGTAATATGGGAAAGTTACCTAAAACAAGATTTATTTTGTTCTATGGTAATCCAGTTATCATAGACAAATTATTATTCTTTTCAGCGTTGTTGAAGTTTATATGTCTAGGGAATTAAAAAATATGCAACATAGAGCCTTGAAAATATATTGTGCTTACAGTTATTGTACTTAGCAGTTAAATTACTGTAGGCATTTTTTTTTGCAAAGCATTTTCATGGAATATCTTTCATTACTTTTTCTTTCCTTCTCTTTTAGAATTAAAAAATTAAATAAACCAACATATCAGCTGCATGAAACGAAACGTCGCACGTCTATGTTGTCTATACCCGTTAGTTGACGAAATCAAAATGGCGTCTTTCACGGGTTAGCGCATATCCGCCGCATACTGTGCCGTTTTCAATAATCGCGTGTGTGACAATATATTTGTGTTACTGACAATTTGTGGACAATTTATACAGTGTTATAGTGATAATTCACCATAGACGGACTGGCCAGATTAGTGTTTTGATTTTGAATACAAGATTTTGCAAAGGTATGTCTCCTTTCACCTATCGAATATTTTAGTAATATTAACGAGATATCTTACAGGTTTGCGCTAATTGCATTACGGATTTAAAGATTAGTGTAATGTGTGTCTGTTGTCTATTTGTTTAGCGCCGGAAGCTCCATTCTGTAGATCAGTAGGTGAGTTGAGAGAACAAGTTTTTTGTAAGGCATTTCGAGGCCGGGTGTCGTGTCTAGCTAGCCCATTGCCCAGTGTACACTTGTGGGATGTCGCGCGTCACTGTCCGGACAAACATTGGCTTTAACTCGTAATTTAATTAGTAGTTTCTCGCAATGCCTTCCAAGTGAAATGGTACAGTGTGCTAGAGTTTCGCCTTTGGATTGCAGTGTGCTTAGAATGACAATTTGTTGACGAGTATTGCCTTCAGTGGTTGATCGAGCACGTATTTTTATAAGGTATAGTGCTCTTCACGTTTTTCCTTCCAATGTTTACCTGAAAGTGATGACTTACTATAATAATTTTGGTAATTTATTCATGTGTTTACCTAATGATGAACAAAGATACTCCAGGATTACTCAATGGATGAATTTTATGATGTTTGTTCTGTTTATGAAACATGTAATATTTCATACATGTTATGAGTCATTTTGTATGGAATTTTAGTCATATTTCCTCAACTATACATGGGTACATTGGCTTGCCAGTGTAATGTTTAAACATATTTTACTAAAAATCAGTAATCATCATTGAAGAAACACAGAACCATCATAATATTAGATACCATTTATTATTATTAATATTTACATTCATTAACCCGTGGAAAAAAAAATGCACCCATATCACAAAACCTTTAATTTAAATTGACCGTTATATTGTACGAATGCAATAAAGAATTTGAGTGTATTTCCGTTGCTCTTGTCGACCTGTATTAACCTATTACTGATCAATATTACACAATTACTAATTTATTATTGCTAAACGTTAAAATTTTGCAAAACGTGTTTAATATTAATTGGAAAACATTATATATTGAGACATTGGCTGTCTATGCTGTTATTGACCAATACATTTTGCTGGTATAGTAATAAAGCCAGCGTTTATTTCGAAAATCATTATAATACAGTTAATATTACTTTTAGTTAACATTAATCATCAGTTTTGTGGTTTGTTGCCATTAGAGCTGGGTTTATAATTTAAAGTTTTCTTATTTCTCAATAAAATCACTTTACTTGAGAAAAGATTAAATTGACTGGATTATTATAGATATTTTAATATAGATTTCAAGTATTCCTGCATAAATCTTATGCCTTGTACAAATAATTGCTTAGACATAATAAAGTAATTTCTTGAATAAAATCCCTTGTTAGATTTTAATTTAAAGTATAATTTTATTTTTTTCAAAAATAGCTAACTTTAGCCCACTTCTCAGACTGCATTTCTATTCTCAACTCCAGCTGGTATGTTATCCCTAAGTGATGGTAGGACAGCCTATAACTAAGAGCAAAATATTTTGACGATTTGTAAGTAATGACATATGACAATGCAGCTCTTTTTGTCCAGTATTTACTGTCTCCTGTACTCCTTACCAATTTTTTATATTGTAGAGTTATGACCCTGTCAATAAATAAAAACTTAATGTATTCAATTTATAACACACTACATTCTAACGCTTCGCAGAAACCGGTTCCAACCATCGAGTGATAACTGAATTTGTACACACGAATAAAATTTGCTTTGACTCATTAACATCCTGATTACGTTACCAAATATTTCAAGGTTGTATAGAAATGTATTAAGTTATTCGAATAAGTGGGTCAAGTATATCTTTTTGCTATACATTTTTGAGTCGATTTATTAATTATGCGGAATATTAATTATAACATCACCTCGAGTGTTACGTTACTGTGGCATCCTCTGATAGTTTTATGTTTCCAGTGTAAATAAATACATTTAATGCCAAAAGTTAAATAAAAAATTTGTCCATCCATGGGGCAATGGTTAAAGTAGTCTTTGTGTCAAGATCGTGGGTTCGAGTCTTACCTGACGCAGTTTTATCAAGTGAAAACAAAACCCATAAATTTTAACATAAATCACATCATCATCATCATTTCAGCCATAGGACGTCCACTACACATAGGCCTCCCCGATTGCTTATCATGTTGCCCGGTTGGTAGCGGACTGCGTCCTGCCTTCCTGCTAGGTACCCAGTGGCGGATTTACAGTTTTGCCGCCCGTAGGCTAGGGTGGGGTTAGATCTTTATTTAACTTTTATCTTCTGAAATCGAGTAAGCGTCATCTGAAATCTGCCGCCCCTAGGCCGCAGCCTATACGGCCTATTGACAGATCCAGGACTGCTGCTACCTTTATGATGTCGTCGGTCCACCTTGTGGGTGGACATCCCGCAGCTAAAGAGAAAGTCAATATTGACTCAGGGCGCCATCAGTGCACGATCAGTGAAGCGTAGAACGTAAAATAAAGTTTTTGGATTCACTGAATGCATTCGTTAAATAATGTAACAGGTGACAATGACTGACGAGCTGTGGACTAATTCAATAATTAGTCCTAATTGCCGTTAATTTGGCCAGCTCAACTGGTACGGTAGCATTCCTGTTTGGTAACCAGTACGGTAATATGAAGTTTAAAATAAATAGATAGATGGTTTATTGAATTACGACAAAAAGAGGGAGAGAGAGATGTCATCATCATCATCATCATCATTTCAGTCATAGGACGTCTACTGCTGAACATAGGCCTCCCCCAATGCTTTCCACGTTGATCGATTGGTAGCGGGCAGCGGCCTGCGTAGTGCGTACTAAGTGCCCAGCCCATTGCCACTTCAGCTTGCTAATCTGTCTGTTTTACGGATTTCCTCATTTATGTATGTATGAGAGAGATGTAGAATAGATAAATCGATACACAACACAAGAAAAGAAAAAGAAAGAAATATACAACAAAAGACACGGCATAACTCAGTCGCTTAGGCGATCTTATCTTTATAAAGCGATCTCTCCCAGACAATCTAGAGGACATTTGTTTATGATAAGTAAACAGGGATAGGAAGGATGTACTAACATAATTTCGTAAAAAATACTCGTAGCACTTTTTTGTTTTGAGTGGACCGACGACCTGATAAAGGTAGCAGGAAGGCGCTGGATGCAGGCCGCTACCAACCGTGCGATGTGGAAGTCATTGGGGGAGGCCTATGTTCAGCAGTGGACGTCATATGGCTGAAATGATGACGATGATGATTTGATTTTGAAAACGTCAGGCCTCTTCAAAATCCACAATCTATACTTACTATACATACTTACTTACTAATATTATAAATGCGAAACTCTGTCTGTCTGTCTCTCTTTCATGCCTAAACCACTGAAGCGATTTTGATGAAATTTGGCATAGAGATAGTTTGAGTCCCGGGAAAGGACATAGGATAGTTTTTATCCCGGTTTTTAAAACAGGGACGCGCGCGATAAAGTTTTCCTGTGACAGACAAAATCCCACGCGGGCGAAGCCGCGGGCAAAAGCTAGTACTCTACTAAATCTTTATTATTTAGTGTGAAAACTGACATACACGTCGTTTGAGATATCATTTATCTTTGATATCAGATAACTTGTCTGCACTCAAAAAACGTGTTTATCTCTTACATTCCCACAAAAACATTGTGTGAGATAACTTTTATTATTCTGTAGTTTTTAATAAGCTCTTAGTACTGTACAGTCCGTCAAATAGTTCGTGACACCCAAAGTAGCCAAAACGTCTTTATTGCAATTGGAATAAGGTTGTGTGTTATCAAGTTTTTGGCCACTGGGTGTCACGAAATATTTATTTGACGCTGACTTTACTGTACTAGCTTTTTAACCAACTTAAACAAAGAAGGAAGTTCTTAATCTGTCGTATCCTTTTTTGTATATTTCCCGATTACTCAATAGAAGGCTGGATCGATATGAAAAATCCTTATATTGTTTGAAAGGGTAACTTCCATGTGGTCCCAAAATTCCATGAATTGGTTCAGTAGTTTTTTCAGAACTCTGAAAATAGATGGACGCAACAATATTGATTCATGAACTTGAGTTATGTTTAAATCTGATATCATCATCATCATTTCAGCCACAGGACGTCCACTGCTGAATATAGGCCTCCCCATTGACTTGCATAATGACTGGTTGGTAGCTGCATCCATTCATCACTTATTTATGACGAGCGAAATACTTACGTCTCATGGCGCAAGTACACTGCGAAAAATTTACCGAGACGAAACACAGAAGTATGGGCGATACACGCGTGAGGGAAGGAAAAAATAACCGAGATGCTGTCCATACTATTACGTCTCGGATAGTGTACTTGCGCCATCACAATCTTATGCCATAGTCGATCGATGTATACCCATTCTTATGATACACCATACAAGAATGCATGGTAAATTCAGTGAACTGCTCCTGAATCGAATGTACCTACTACTACTATTTCTATTTATTTATATTAACCGGCAGACAGTGGTGACTGAGTTTGTTGCGGCGCTTCTTCTCAGCACTTGCCAAATGTTGGTCTCGAAGCGCTGGTAGGGTAAAAAGATTATGAGACATGTAGAGGCTCCTTAAGAGCATATGACGATTTGTAAGAACTATTTATTAGTCTAAACAAATAAAGAAATTTTGACTTTGACTTTGATCGAAACGTTTCATTCAACACTACTCAGTCAATAATGGTAAAAAACTTATATAAATCAAAATCAAAATTTTCTTTATTTGTTTAGACTAATTAAATAAGTTCTTGAAAATCGTCAAATGCTCTTAAGGAGCCTATACATGTCTCATTATTTTCTTGCCCTACCAGCGCTTCGAGACAAACATTTGGCAAGTGCTGAGAAGAAGCGCCGCAACAAACTCAGTCACCACTGACTGCCGGTTTAAAAATATAAAAAAGTAGGAAATTACAATACATTCAGAAGCAAGTTACTTACCACGCGCTCCCGTTGATAGAAGGTGGCCTTTAAGACGCCCATCTAGCACGAGACCGCGTGGCAGTT